GAATCTTTGCCTACTTTGCAAGAGTGGTTTCTTAAAGTTTCTTACCTGGCTGAAATGGCAAAGATTTCGGCTTTTTTGAAGGATCAATCGCAGGAGAAGTATTTTGCGGTATGGAAAAAATGGATAGATTTTATACAATATAAGTTGGATATTAAAAAATACGATTTAGTTTTTCAATAACTTATATTTAAAATATTTTATAGATTTTATTTCCCTTTTTTATCTTTATTTTTTATTCTTATTATATTTTCTCTTATCTTTTTTTTTGTCTTTTCTTTATTTATTTTTCTTTTAAGTATTATTTTTTTTGGTATTTATGTTTTTTCATATATATATTATTGTTAATTATTTTATAGTTTGTTTAATTAATGTATTTAATATTTTGATTTATTCATGGTTTATATTTCTTTTTTTTTAAGATTATTTGAAGAAATTTTAATTAAGCCTATGTTCAGCTCTGGGAAGGTCGGGGGAGGGAATGGGAGGGTTGGGGAGGTTTGGGGGTGGGTTGTTTTGTTTTTTGTAAAATTTTTAAAAAATTCAATAAAAAAAAAGCTATTGCTTTGGAAAGCATCTGCTATCCATTTGTTGGAAAAGGAATCTTGAATGTTGACTCCTTTGTTTGATTCAAGAAAATTCTTGCTTATTTGCATTCATATATGCAAGACAAACGTAGAAAGTAAGTTATAAGAAAATTAATCACATGAAATAGTATTTTTCTCTTTCTTTGAAAGTACTGTAAATCCAATATGATTTCTTCCATATTATGTTGAGGTTATGCTCACTGCCTATGGTCAATGGTAATTCTGAAAATTATACCATCCACATAACTGGAAGTTGGGAAAAGTTGAGTTGAAGGAAGATTGGAAAACACATTTTTAATAAATAAACACAAGAGGATTTTCTAAGTGAGACACATCAGTTCCTATTATAAATGTTCACAGTTACAATGATGGGGAAATGCATATGTTCTTTTCTATATACTTGTGATGTCACACGCACAGATAGAATAATAGTAGGTAGAATTTACATCATAACGGACATTTTGTTACTTTCCCCTCACCCAGTTGCCCTGCAAATTCCGAACTATTTTATCCATATGGCTACTGATCTATTATTTCTATACATTACAAATAACTCCTAACAAGATCAGGAATACTTAGTTGTTAATTCCACTCACAATCAAATGATAATATAAAGAGCAATAATGAAGTTTTTCCTAAGAGTAGATTTGACTATTTGACAGATATGACTAATTTTTGGTGGACATATTCATAAATATTGCTTACATATCTCTGGAAGGTAATTGTTTAGGAACAATCTCTAAAGTTTGTTGTACAAGCCTTTTATAAGTAGGAAAAATAAAATAAAATCTGTACTAGGACTGTTCTGAATTATAATGAAGTGGAAAACTGCCTATCTGTATTCTAAACATTTTCAACCCTTAGTTTGACCCATGTAAATTTGATGTTTCAAATTTCTTTCCTGGAACTACAATTAATATTCTATTGATTAGTTTCTGGAGGACAGTATAAAAAACGTAGTCAGTAGAGACTTGAAAAGAATTTCTGTCTATAACACATCAAGTTGTAGAATTGGCAAATCTCCATAAAACATAGCCATTTCTGAAAAGACATAAAAGCACTATCATTTTTCAAAAATTTATAGTCTCTTTTGGGCATCTGGCAATAAAACATCTGTTTGGAAAAATATTCCTCATTCTCAAGTAGTCCTTAAAACACATATCTGATCATTCTGAATATTTTCAGAAATGTCTTGCGGATAGCAGACTAACACCTGCACGACAGCACACCAGTGCAGATGGAGACAATACTTATCAGCCATTTTAAAAAACATATTTTTTTTGTTATAGAATACTTGCGAAGCACACAGACACGTAAGCACCAGAAATTATTTTTCACCTGAGTATTTTTGAACTCTGTTCAAGGAAGGGAATAGGAAGGATCAAAACATTCAGCTTACTAGCCTAAAAGTAATTGTCCTTCTTCAAGTAGTATAAAACCCCACCCATGAACTAGAGTAAAAAAAAAGGCTGAATCCTTCTTATTTTACAATATTTTTCCTATGATGATATCTCTCTTGCTATTAAGAAATGGGTATAGTTCTTAGTAGCACATAAGGGCCTAGTTATTTTTTAAACTTTGAAAGAAAATCAATAAAACGAATAGCCTAAATGCATAGAATACATATATTTGAGTTTACATATATCTATATTTTTGTAGTTTGATATGTGCCATCCTCCTATTCAATTAGAAATGATGCCTCTCTGAAAAAATCCTTATATTTACTCCAATGTTGCAGTGAGAGTATTCCAGGTTTTTGTTCAATCAGCATTTTATATAAATCGAACAGATACGGTACTCAGTTCCTGAGTTAATATGCAGATTGGAAAGCAGGCTCAATTTATGGATCTCTCTAAATGTCATGATGCACATTTATAAATTAATATCAGTTACCAAAAGATACTATCTATTTTGTTCAAGTTCTGTTTCTAGTAGTCTCTCCTTTTGAATAAATAGGTGAAACTATAATATACAGAAATATCCTTTTGAACACTGGACAGTGGGGATGAACAAAATGGTTTCCACTTTGTATCCACTCCAAATACATGCCAATCTATTTGGGAAGCACAAAACTTCAAAACAGGGAGACATGCCAGCTACCTCAAGACCACAAATAAGTTAAGGTGGGATCTATCTTAGATAGACACTATTCTTTTTTAATCTTTTCCCATAGTTATCCTCAAAACAAAAGCAGAATAAACAGATCACTTTTAATAATGAAGATATTAATACCACAGTAATCATGGGTCCAATCTGTCTTTTTGGAATATTTTTACTATTTACTATTTTTACTATTTCACAACATCATAGATCTGCCTCCAACATAGAACTTCTAATTCTAAAGACTTTTCAGTTCCTAAGTGCAGGGTTTTATCAACGAAGCTACAAATGTTGCTTCCCAAACTCTTCTGAGGCAGGAAACACACTTTTTAATTTTAAGTTGTCAAATAGGCTTTAGGGACAAAACAATATTAAATTTCACCCCCAACAGAGAAGGGGGAATAAGAAAGAACTTATACAAAGCCAGCTCAATCAAAGTTTGTTAAGATGTCACTCAATGGGAATTGAATGTTAATGATTTTTACCATGGTCCTGGTAGAAGAGATACAGAAAAAACTATAGTAAAAGGTAAATAACGAATTCAACCAAACATGTGTAAAAGGCTACATTTTGGATTTTTCTTCCCATTTTTCATGTCCAATTTTTAGAGACTGCCTAAACAAATCCCTGCAGTTTTCTTTGCAAGATTTTTGCAGAAATTGTTTGCCATTGCCTCATTCCTAAGGCTGAGAGAAAATGACTAGCCCAAGGTCACTTTGTGTTTAAGACAGCACTTTATCTCACGGTCTTCTGATTTCGAGCCTGATGACTTAACTAATATGAACTATGGAAACAAGAGACCATGAATTCAAATCCCACCTTAGACATGAAGGTCAGCTGGGTTACTTTGGGCCAATCACTCTTTCTCCACCCACTCACAGTGTTTTTGTTGAGAAAATAAGAGGTGGAAGGTGTGTTGGATATGTTTGCCACCTTGAACCATTTATAAAAATAATAAAGGCAGAAGACAAATAAGTAAATAAATAAAATAAATACAATTATATCTCACTAGTTCTCATTATGAATTATGGCAATAACACTTACAAAATACTATCAGCCCTTTTTAAGGTGACCTGTTGCTTACTATGAAGAAATGGACTTTAACAACATTTGCAAGGCTGCTGTGAAGAATATTGTTAGAGGCCAACAAATAATATTGTTTGGATCTGCTCAGAGTTAAATTTGGAATGGACAGATCCAGTCAATGAAATTTAAACAGTCTTGTTCAGTTTTCTGGGAAGTGTTTGATCTTGTAATTCCTGAGGAAGTGGACCTTGAGTCTAATAATCTGTCCCCACTACTTATTACATATAATCCTTTTTGACTGATGTAGATCTCCCAGAAGGTGGCGTGTGACTGGGTCCATGTGACTTCCTGAAGAAAGAAGGATGTAGTTCACCTGCTTTGAAAGTAGTGAGACTGCATCTCCTTCTAAAAAAAAATAAATCACTAGACCCAACAGTCCTGAACAACTTTTATCTAGCCTCTGATCTCCCATTTCTGCAAGGCTCTTGGATAAAGCAGATTATCTGGAACCTTTTCAGATAGACTTCATGGTAGATACACTATGGAGATGACATTAATTACACTTCTCTTTTTTCTGGAGTTACAAGGATTGGTGTAGTGCCACTGTCCTTGTTTTCTCTGATCTCTCATATGATTAATAACAGACTATGGGAGTGTATGGATAAGATTATTCTTGCTTAAAAATCATTGTAATATTTTCTTCCTTTTTACATGTGAATCCAATCAATGTTAATGGGAAGAGATAGAGTCCAAAGTCTCTAGCATGTAAAATGCTTGGCACTGTACCCCTCCTATTTAACATCTACATCTACATGAGTCTTCTGGGTGAGGTCATCAGATACCATTGTGTCAACTATCATCAATACTCATTATATATCCCTCACCCTCCTATGTTGCTGAGAAATGGGGTGATTTTAGAAATGTGAATTATACAAACAAATGTACTGTATCATGCTCATGATGAAGCATTGCTACCTCATTCCCTGTGACTGTTGCCCTTTCAAGAATATAATGTGCCATAAGCATATCTATCCCTGGTATACTAGGATTTGAATTTTATCCCATTATATACAACTAAGAACCATTAAAATGGAAACACAACCAACATGAGGATTATTTGAAAACTCAGATGACTATCTTTTAAAAAACATTCAAAGAATGGATTTGCATTAGAAAACACAGGAAACTCTTATCTTGAAACTCCTGCCTATAAATATATTCTGTCACAGTAATCAAAATTATCCAAACAACGGACATTAATGTTCTATATTTATTTTCAGTGCTACTCACAGCTATGCTTCCTTCAGGAAGTTTTACTGGCTGAACTTTGTATGGCATCTTCTTTACTTCAAATGACACACTGATGGAAAGAGCATAGCGGTAATTTTTCCTCTGAAAAATATGATACAGAAAAAGTTTGGATTAGTCACCAAATTGATTAATAATCCCTCCTATAATGGCAGACAGTGTGTAAGGGACTTAGAAAGGAGATGAAAAAGAAAACAGAGGAAAAACAAGATAAAACTATATAAATCTATATACATAATAGAAAAAGTAGATAGAGAGATGTTTTTCTCTCTTTCACAATAATAGAATTTAAAGTTACCAGTTATAAGAAGAATCAGGATTTATAAGATGTTTCTTTATTTAGCATATTTTCAATTAAGAATTCAGTCTCTCTTCAGGGGAGATCCACAAATTTAGATAGTTTAGAAATAAGTAAGTAAATTTTTGGAGGATGTGGCTATTATTGGTAAAAACCTTTGAAATATTTGAGGCTCAGTTGAGTAGTTTAATCATCAATTCCTAAGGGGCAGTAAAAAAAAAACCAATACTGTTGTCTTCATATGCAGCTTGTGAATTTGGATCCTATGTTAACAAAATACTGGACTAGCTATGGGAAAAGAAGTATTGCTTATCAAATGTTTTGGATTAGCATTCTAATATCTTCCCAATTGCCATGCTGGATTTGGCTAATAATTTTGAGGCCAAATTTTCTAAAACATACTTATTTTCTCACCCCTGAAACAGACTATTAGCCTAATCAGGAAGAGTTCTTGATATATCTTTATGAAGAAAAGTCTCATGTTAAATAAATAATTCAAGTGTTCTGAACAGTTATCTGAGATGTTTCCTATATTATAGCATTCTAAATCTGACAACACTGGAGCAGAGACCATGACATTTTTTCATATCTTGTCCCTTTCTGTTTCTTTCAATATGTCTTTTGTGCGTGGCTTTATATTCTCCAATCAAAGTTTGTTTTGGAGAACCCTTTCTTTTCCAAAATGTGGGGAGCTGGAGCAACATCTATTTTTACCATAAGCCTCTCATCATCTTGATAGCCCTCCTGTGAACCTCTTATGCTATTGTCCATTTTGAATGGTGGTGCCCAAAACTGGATGTACAGAACAATACCAAAAGGATCTGACCAGGGCATATTAAGTGGGGCCATTGCTTTCCATGATTTGGACTCTGCTTCTGTTAATGTGCCCAAAGTAGCATTTACATTTTTTAAGCAACTGAGTCATGTTTAACTCATGTTCTACAGGTTTGATATGTCTTCTTGCCAAACCATATCTTCCCAATCCCATACTTAGGCCTTTCATTTTTTCCAGTCCAGGTGCAGAATTTTATACTTTTCTTTGTTAAATTCCTACCTGTTCATTTTATCCAAATCTTTTCACTTTATGGTCATTACTCATCATTCTAGTAATGTCTTATAATCTTTATAATCACTATAATCATAATCAAATTCTTTATAAGTTCAGACTTATACAGTTGCAAATGAAGAGATTGTAAACTCTGGTAAAGATTACTCACATAACCTTGAGTAAAAACCTTTAACTTATTTCTTTCTTAAATTATTTGAGTTTCCAAGTGGATTTCTATACATTTATTGCAATTTTAATCATGACTTTGCAACTTTTATGTGTTTAATATATTTTTCTATAGCACCCTAATGACCCCTAACTTTCCCGTTGAACTTCAGAATTGCCCTTCAAGGAGTTGGGTTGCCTTTTTGAGAAGTGCTGTTCTAATCCTGTCAGCATTTTTAATTCCCCCCCTTTTCTCGATGGTTGTATCCTGAGTATTATTATTTTGAAACATAGACATGATTTGAAGAGAATTTTCAAGTGAGGGTATGGATCTCATTTTTATTGGCTGCCCTATAGCTACAGAGGCCCAGAAAAATTGGTAGAAGATCTGAATTACCTTACCAATCTAATCTAAATCAATGCATATAAAAGTTTCAAAGTCATGATTAAAATTGCAATAAGCATATAGAAATCCACTTGGAAACTCAAACAATTTAAGAGAGAAATAAATTAAAGATATTTCTACTTTCTTGAGATATATTTTGTCAATACCATATATTTTGCCAATACCATACTAGTATTGTAAGGAAACATGAACTGTGGGATTCCTGATGTACACCTAAGGAAGATCACATTGGCTCTCTAATACAGGACAAATTTTGGGTCTCTTTTTGATATATATTCAATGAGGCCAGAATTTTTATCTCACTAGTGATAAATATTTATATTCTTTGGAATTTCCTGCAGTGTCAGCATGCTCCCCCATTCTTGCAGTTATACTTTCCCCCTTTGCAGCTGCTGTTCTGAGCCGGCCTCCTTTAGTTATTTTATCTCTCATCAGCAAGAGGATTTATGAGTATGCTAGACCCTGACCTTTGCTCTAGTGGGTGGAGCTTATGCAAACAGATACTCATTCAAAAGCTCAAGTGATGAGTTTCTAACTTTTTTCTTGTGGGACAAAATCAGCTGAGCAAACTCTCAGATGTCGGCATTATTAATACCAGCATTTAAAAAAAAACACACCGAGCAGCATTCCAGATATCCAGAACAGTTAACAGAATCAAAAAATATTATGCTGTTGCTTTTTATTTATATTTTTGATGGCTATCACTGACAATAGACTGACCAGCTGGGCATCATCAAATCAATGCATACATGCTAATTTATACGTACAGCAACAATTTTAAAAACATTTCTTTCCTCTTGATTTTAAAATTTGCTTGCACAAGACCAGTCCAAATATAGTAGAGAACCAATTTTTTATATAACAAGTTTTATTAATTTTCAATTTTTACATCCAAGTAATTAGGAAGCATTGGAAGTATTGGACTATTGATAGGGTAATCAATAGTCCAATAACAAAATAATTCATATATATCTCAGGTTACATCATTAAAAGTTCCCGCTCTATTTCCCTTAATTATTATATCATATTCAAGTTAATAGTAGAGAACCATTTTTTCAAGGCACTTTAAACATAGATCTGTCTGCTGTAAAAGGGACCACATGATCAATTTTCCAGATTCACTGCTTATTCAAAGATTACTTTGAACCTGAATCCAAAAGTTATCTACCTGGCTTAAACCCATCAACTAAAGTCATTAGTAATATTAACATAGAATTCAGCTGAAAGGGAAAAAGGAAAGCTAAACTATGACTCATAAAGGCATTTTTTTTTCTTCAAAAGGATGTATGGAGTTTAACAGGATAGGCATTTAATTTCCAAAGGATTGCACTAAAGGGCAATTGCAGTCAAGATGATGGAGAGAACAGAAGAGAGGGAGTTAGAAGTAGGATGAATGGAAATATTATAGCATGGAGCAGGACTTTTCAAAATTTCAAATCATAATCACTGATAAGATTTTTATCTTCAAAGCATAAATGCTACACTATGCTTTATATCAAATTTAGAATAAAAGATTTTATTAGATTTAAATCATAGATAACTTAGTGCTTATTTTTAAATGAATCAAAGAATTAATTTTGTAAATCCAGCACAAGTTGAATAAAAATGAATAAAATGTGTTATCAGAATTAAACAAACATGTTTAACAGTATTCCAATTAAAAGGGGAAAATATTTGATTTGAGTAAATGATCTGAAGCATCAAGTAAGGAAGAGTCAAGGATCTCCTTGGTCTCTTTTGATTCAAAATGTTCTTCTTTCTAAAGCAGCCTTCCATGTTTCAAAACAGAAGCTGGACTACTATTACACTGTTTAGTAGTTATTAAATTAGTTTCACAAATGAAAAGAAATCTAAACAGCACTTATTGATTTTACTCTTATAATCACAGAACAGAAAGAGACATGATTTGATCTCAAATTCCTTTCCCTTCTAGACAATCTCAATAATTCAATACTTTTTGTCAGGATTGTTATAAACAGCTTTGATTTCCACTTTATTATTACCAACATTCACTATTATTGATACAATAACACACACACACACTTGTGTGTGTGTGTGTGTGTGTGTGTGAGAGAGAGAAAGAGAGAGAGAGTCAGAGAGAGATAGAGAGATAGAGAGAGAGAGAGAAGTTACTCTCAATTTTAGTATGAAATGTAGAATCCTCCTATGATATTAAAGTCTTCTGTAAAGTGAGTTAAGATAAAATAACAATCCCCATTAATACATGACCCCATATGATGTTTTAATGTTATTTCCTTTCCCGATCTTTTTAAATTATTTCCAGCTACTGAATCCACAAAGATGGAAAGCATGTTTATTATTAATCCACTGGTATATGGCCACAACAATTTGCACTTTTTTCACTGCATTCCACTTTTCTTATTTGAGGTCATGGGATCACTCAGTTCACTCTGTATAATTTCTTGATGGCTTCCTGTAGTAATAATACTGTCTCTCTCAGACAGAGTTATCTGTAAATGCCATCAATGTACTCCCACCTCTATTCTACAGATGTTAATAAAAAGAAAATAGATCTTATACTGGTCAGTGATAGGCATCAAAAATATAAATAGAAACAGTTACAAGTGTTATTTGTAACTTTCAACTTGAAGGTCTACTTTTTGATATTATAATAATCATGTTATTCTTACATGTATTCCATTTAACTAGTTCCTTATTTAATGGACACCACTTTTTCAATTTTGATCCTGTCAGAAACTACTGCAGTATTTTCTGGGGATTATTATCACCCAAACTTCTTTTAAAAATTTAAACTGTGCCTTGAGCCACTGAATCCTCACAATTGCTTCATAAGCTCTAGGAATTCAATTTTTATCACTTAATATAAACTGAAGATGGGGTGGAATTGATTTGGGAAAACATTGCACAATGTATCATTTCAATGTGCAGAACAATTTATCTGTGGTAGAAAACTATTTGTACAATATTCTCAACCAGTAACTACCTGCAACTGACTCCTCCTTATCTCTTTTGGAAATAGACAAATATATTTTCCATTCTTACATATTCAGTTGATGTATTTCTTTTGAGTGTGGCCAGATTTAAGCTTCTAATGCTTAAACATTCATTTTTGGCGGAATAGTAGAAACAGAGGACTCTTTAAAATATATTACAGGATTGGTAGAAGCTATGTGCTAAATACTGGGACAGTTTCCCAGTACAGGTTTAAGGTTTTTTTTTCAGAAATTATTTTCAGTTTGTCCAAAGGATATTGCATCTGGGATTTGTTCCCATGTACCATGTCATAGACTTTATCTCTGAATCTTATGTGCTTATAAATATACAATCCCTCATTGCATAAAAATATGTAAGCATTCCAGGAAAATAAGATTCTTGTGCTATTCAGGATCATAATCCGTGTGTGTGTTTATTTACTTATTTATTTGTATCCTACCTTTATTATTTTTATAAGGAACTCAAGGCAGTGAAAATATCCAACATATCTTCCTCCTCCTTTTCTCCACAATAACAACCTTGTGAGGGAGTTGGGCTGAGAGAGAGTGACTCAAGGCCACCCAATTGGCTTTTATGGCTAAGGTGGGACTCACCTTAGCCACAGTCTCCTACTTTCTAACCTGGTGCCTTAACCACTAGACCAAACTGGTGGTGACAAGTTGGTGACATTTTAAAGGCATTCACATCAGACATCAGTAGTGTAGGGCCTATTCTGCCCCTTTGGTAGGGGCTGAAACACTGTTAGGAAAAAAAATGAAGAATGCTTTTTTCCATTAAGCTTTATAACTTTATATCTATGTTATCAAGGTGAAGGGTTTTAGAGAAATCCACAAATGTCTGGTTACAATGATATCTTTTATCATTCTCTGGAGCACTAGCACCTTTCCAAAATGTTAAACATATTCAAATCTATTATCATACTAAAAATGAGTTTCAGTTTCAGCAAATGTGAAACATATGGCTACTTGGATTCCAAATACCTAAGCACTTCCAAGACATGCTGAGTACAAAATCTGTTTGCATACTATCCAAAGTCAGGCAGAGGTAATTTGGAAAGCACATCACCTATCAGCCCACCTAAGTAGTTAAAACAATTTAAATGAGTTCTCAGTGGGCCTAGTGATGGATTATGGTGCCTGCTTTGGTCTCAATGAAGCACAACAGCAGAAATCAATAACCTACCCCAAAGGTATATAGACCAAGCAAGGCATGTAAGGACAAAATAAAGGGCATCTGGCCTGCAGGTGGGATTCCTGAGAGAAGATGAGGAGGAGGAGGAGGAGGAGGAAGTAATTGTTTTATCCAGCTTCACTGATCAATTCTATTGAGGAGAATTCAGATTTCTCTTCAGATCTGAGTGATCTGTGAGAATAGGCTTGCTACTAATTCCATATAACCATAACCATTTGGCTTGCTAAGCTATATTGGGGGAAGATCTTTCTACACAGGAACAGCAGTATCATAGATAATCTTCTATGGTAGTGAATGGAACACATATTTTTCAGGCCAAGAATTGCATGCATCCACTGAATGGTATTGGTGAAGAGTATCCCCATGAACGAGACCCAAGACAAAAAGTAACTTTCATTTCATTTCATTTCAATGAAAATTATTAAATCAAGTCATTGTAGTGAATAGGTTTATAAACATTTAGCAAGTTTCCTTTCTATGACAATAAAAAGTAAAATTCTGTGGCAATCTTCAAAGTTTTTATTTGTCACATCTAAGACTTCCAAGGCTATATGGCATCTGGGAATGTTAGGCTGTAATCTGCTTTCAAATACCAACATTTTTCTCTCTTTAAATTTAAGTTATATATAAACCATTGTTTTGTTATAACGTAAGATTGGTATCATGCTTCTGACACATTTTTTTTTAATAAACTGTGGGTGGGAAGAGAGCTTGGCAGCCCCCCAGAGAATAATCTGTGGTCATATTAAGGCTTTGGAGCGCATGGTTCCCCATTGCTTATTCTGTGCTATATAGATTGCCTCTTCAGTGGCTGTGCACTGTATTTAATATAGATAGAAAATCAATAGAGGTCATACTAGAAATACAATTAATAATGAAATAAAGCTAGTTCTTTTTTGAATGAATTAAACAACTGATGATTTGAAGATTCAACTACATCAATGATAAAATTTAACATATGTTTCTGTTTACATTCAAGTTTTGAAACACAGCCAAATTCTTCCTTATTTTTCTTGGCTTTGATTCAACAGCCTTCATTATCTCTGTTGGCTTTGGGGGAGACCTTAAGCTCCTTGTTTATTCAAGCTTGTTTAATCATCTCGCTTCATATAGCTCCAGTTTGTGATAAAATGTTAGACTTTAACCTGACAGATTACAATTAGCTACAAGATTGAACAGTCAGCAAGTGTTATTTTAATACTGCAAAAAGTTAGGCAATCATTGAACAAATTATATAAAATCAATATAAATATAAAATTCATTAAAATGAAAAATGAATTCTTTATTCTTAAAATTAATAATAATGGATTAAATCAAAATTATACTTTCATATCTGAAAGCAACCGCTGTTCCAATATAGAATTCTTAGTGAGAGGGGTTTCCTATTTTTTTTCTTCTGAACATTTAAAATATTTTATAGCGTGATTAAGGTGGTGTTTTGGCAGGGAAAGATTGTTTAAGTCAATGTTGTAGAATAAAATAATAGATTCACACATTCACTGATGAGATCCTAAAATCACTGAGCAATTTGGGAATAATATGTAGCAAGATTTACATACATTCCAGAAAAAAATATAAATTGATTGACAGACCAGAATGACACAGTCCTTGCATTTTTCTTGAGAACTAGTATGGTCCAACTAGAAGTGAAAACTGAAGATCTGAGAAATCAGATCTCGCTCTTCCTATTTTCAGAACAGCTTTATACATTTAATATTTTATTACAAGACAAGTTTAAAAATGGTCCATTGCAAACATTAGAAAAAACATGTCATATTTAATGAAATTTATTTTTGATTAGTTAGAAATCAGAATGGTTTCTTGTTGATGCATGAACTGAAGTAAAGTGGGACTGCTAGTATCTCTGAGAAACGACAGGCACTTATGCCTACAGTTGCAATTTACAGATTTATTCTATGAACAGGATAGCTTACATTTAGCTTGCATTTCTTTACCTGTAGAAATGTTGAAGCCCATAAACGAGATCGGATTTTCAATGCAGCACTTTTCCCTTTTTCCAAGAGACCCACAGAACAGGTGATCATTAAACATTCGACATTTGTGCAGTTCTATACATAAAGTAAAAAAGTATACTAATTATTTATTGAAGATATTGACAAGAGTCAAATTCCAACTGGGGAATCTAGAATAACAACATGTTCAGCTTTTATTTTTAAAAGTAATAAAAGATAAGAAAATGCTAAGTTTAAAAAAAGAGAAATAACATTAGCTTAGACCTCTTTAAGAAAAAGACTGTCTTACTATAAAATTATCCATTAAAAAAGACTTTATTTCTGAATGAAAATTTAATTTTGGTATTAAAAGTCAATTTCAATTTTTTTCAGCAAGCTACATAAAGAAGCAGTACCTGTGTTGATATTTACTAATGTCTTCATAGCATTCTAACAATATTCTTTTTTTCTTTACTTTTAAAACATTATTAATAGGATGAATAAGCTTGCATATCATGCCATCAATATCTGAAATATGATTTGTTGAAACAGTCAGCATTCAGTTCCTTTTGCTATTTGATTTGGGATGTAATGAATACTGAAAACCCACTTTTTATGTTGAAAGCATAGTGCTGTTCAGGGAATACAAGCATTTTGTGAGATACAGTTTAGAAAGTATTGGCATTTGCTAAGAATACTCCTAGCATTTCAGAAGAAATTATCATAATGTAAGTAGTCATTGCATTAATTAGAACAAGTCAGTTGGAGTAATCTTTACATATGTGCATATATGAGTGGATGCCAATTGCAAAACATGACAAATATTATAAGCCTTCTTTGTCCAAATCCCCAAGTCTCTTAGTACAGAACTATATAAGCTGAGTTTCTGTAAAATAAAATGTGCTCTAAGAAAAATGTTATATAATGTTATATTCTGTAAATGCAAAGTTAAATTTGTACCCCAAACTATAGAATATCACAGCAAATGTTTCCTCATTAAAACTGAATGAGTGATTGTGTGTGTTTTTTGCTAAATTCCATCCACTTCCTCAACAGGAAACTGATTATACAGAACTTACTGAAAGGCAATATTTTAGAGGAAGTATTTGTTTAGCTTTTCTTATTTAATCACTCTTTAATCTAGCCAAAGTGTTTATTCCCTGTAATGTAGGATCAATGAAGACATGTCTTTCTTTCTATTCACAGTTGCACTAGATCAAAAAAGAGCTTCTTAATTAAAGGCTAAGTCAGATACTTAAAAAACAAAACAAAAAACAGATGCCTATAACTTAGAATCAAAGACTATTTTGTTGTGATTTTTGTAGTAATTGAACAGACTTACAGGCCAGGACTCCAAAACCCTCCTCATTTTACAGGTATTCTTCGACTTACGACCACAGTTGAATTCAAAATTTTCATTGCTAAATAAGGCAATTGTTAAGTGAGTCAGATCCCATTTATAAACTTTTTTTTGCTACAGTTGTTAAGCAAATCACTGCAGTTAATAATAATAAAGTTGGAAGGGACCTTGGAGGTCATCCAGTCCAACCCCCTGATCAGGAAGGAAATCCTATACCATTTCAGACAAATGGCTGTCCAGTCTCTTCTTAAAAACTTCCAGTGTTGGAGCATTCACAGCTTCTGGAGGCAGGTTGTTCCACTGGTTAATTGTTCTAACTGTCAGGAAGTTTCTCCTTAGTTCTAGGTTGCTTCTCTCCTTGATTAGTTTCCATCCATTGCTTCTTGTCCTGCTTTCACTTGCTTTGGAAAATAGCTTGACTCCCTCTTCTTCGTGACAACCTGAGATATTGGAACACCGTTATCATGTCACACCTCATCCTTCTCTTCATTAAACTAGACATACCCAATTCCAACAACCGTTCCTTATGTTTTAGCCTCCAGTCCCCTGATCATCATTGTTGCTCTTCTCTGTACTCATTTTAAAATCTCAACATCTTTTTTATATCGTAGTGACCAAAACTGGATGCAGTATTCCAAGTGTGGCCTTACCAAGGCATTGTAAAGTGGTATTAATACTTCACGTGATCTTGATTCTATCCCTCTGTTAATGCAGCCTAGCACTGTGTTGGCTTTTTTGGCAGCTGCAGCACACTGCTGGCTCATACTTAAGTGACTCAGAGATCCCTCTCACAGTTACTACTATTGAACAAGGTACTACCTTGCATTTAGCTTTTTTTTTGCCTAAATGTGGAACCTTACTTTTTTCACCACTGAATTTCATTTTGTTAGATAGCGCCCAATGTTCAAGTTTGTCAAGATCCTTCTGTATCTTAAGCCTATCTTCTGGAGTGTCGGCTATTCCTTCCAGCTTGGTGTCATCTGCAAATCTGATGAGTTTCCCATCTATCCCCTCATCCAAACCATTTGTGAAGATGTTGAAGAGCACTGGGTCCAGAACAGAGCCCTGGGGCACCCTACTATACACTTCCCTCCATGTAGATGCAGTTCCATTGAGGACTACATGCTGTGTACGGCCGGTCAGCCAGTTATGAATCCATCTGGTGGTGATGCTGTCTAACCCACATTTTTCTATCTTGTCAAATAATAGGTTGTGGTCTACTTTATCAAATGCCTTACTGAAGTCCAAGTAAATTATATCCACAGCACTCCTCTGGTCCACTAATTTTGTCATTTGGTCAAAGAATGCAATAAGATTTGTCTGGCGTGATCTGTTTTTGACAAACTCATGTTTGCTTTTGGTAATGACTTTGTTTGCCTCTAAGTGTTCGCTGATTTGTTGCTTGATTATCTTTTCCAGAATCTTCCCAGGTATTGAAGTCAGGCTGACAGGTCTGTTTCCTGGATCCATTTTTTCCCCAACTACATCAGCTGTTTTCCAATCCTCTGGTAATTCCCCAGTGCTCCAGATCTTTGAAAGATATAGTTTAGTGGTTCTGAGATCACATCTTCCAATTCCTTCAGAACCTTGGGATGTAATCCATCTGGTCCTGGCACGGTACCACCTGTGCATTTGGTTTTTCTTGTCTAAATGTAGAACCTTACTTTTTCATCATTAAAGTTCATTAAATAGTGCCCAATGTTCAAATCTGTCAAGATTCTTATGCCTATTTTCTGGAGTGTTGGCTATTCCTGCCAGCTTGGTGTTGTCTGAAAATTTGATGAGTTTCCCCTCTATCCCCTCGTCCAAATCATGAAGATGTTGAAGAGCACAGGGCCTAAAACAGTATCCCACTGCATACTTTCCTCCACATAGATGCAGTACCATTGAGAACTACATGTCGAGTGCAGTTGGTCAGCCAGTTACGAATCCATCTGATGGTGATGCTGTTTAACCCACATTTTTCTGTCTTATCAAGTAGTAAGTTGTGGTCTACTTTATCAAATGCCTTACTGAAATCCAAGTAAATTATATCCACAGCATTCCTCTGGTCCATTAAGTTTGTCACCTTGTCAAAGAATGTAATAAGATTTGTCTGGCGTGATCTTTTCCAGAATCTTCCCAGGTATTGAGGTCAGGATGATAGGTCTGTAGTTTCCTGGATCCATTCTTTTTTTCCTTTTTTGAAGGATCTTTGAAAGATATAGTTCAGTGGTTCTGAGATCACGTCTGCCAGTTCCTTCAGAACCTTGGGGTGTAGTCCATCTGGTCCTGGTGATTTGAACTTGTCTAGGTTGGACATATACTCACTTACCATTTTCTTGCCTATCTTAACTTGTGTTTCTGTTTTTTACAGTACTGTTTTTGATAAGTTTGACTATTTTTTCTCTTTGTGTAAAGATGGATGCAAAAAATGAGTTAAGTGGTTCTGCTTTCTTCCTGTTGCAAGCCTTCTTGCCACTTTCTCTCAATAATGGACCAATCATTTCCTTAACTTTTTTTTGTTTTTTACACGTTGAAAGAAGTTTTTGTTATTTTTTACTTTTGTCGCAAGCCTTAGTTCATTTTGAGCAGTGGTTCTCAACCTGTGGGTCGGGACCCCATTTGGGGCAAACGACCATTTCACGGGGGTTGCCAAACAATGCAGTCTGCCATTTTTTCATCCTTTTCCTTAGCTGTGCTACTCCCTTTTATTCTATTGGCTTTGAAAGAGCCAATAGGAATTGTCCAGGCTGTCTCTGCCCTGCTGAGCCCGCCAAAAGTCCCATTCTGCAAACGGTGCTGTACCAGTTGAGTAGTCCTCGACTTACGACCGGTTGAGTAGTCCTCGACTTACGACCGGTTGGAAGTCGCGGCATTAAAAAGGTTGAGAACCACTGATTTTGAGCCTTAGCTTTCCTCACTACATCTTTGCAGGCTCGAGCTATCTGCTGATATTCTGCCTTAGTTATGTGCCCATTTCCATTTTTATACTTGTCCTTTTTGTCTTTCAATTTATCAGAGAGTTATTTATGCAGCAGAGATGGTCTCTTGGTGGTAAGATATGTTAATCATATCATAACCTGTTTCACCTTCTCCTCCAACGTGTATTAAAAGTAGAAGTTAAGAAAGATCTAGAATGTGAAATGCTACCTATCTAAATCCAATTCATTTGATTCAAACTACTGGAAAACCTGCATTGTTATTTTTACTATAATATTGCAGATTCTTCTTCCCCAACCTACTTGTACACAGAGTTTAACAACTGGGATAGTCATTTCTTCCATTTGTTTTAGTAGTTTACAGGTTAGTTGTTACAAAAAAAAAACATCTTGAAGCATTATGGATGAATAGTGCCTCTATGATTAAGTAATAATAGTTTCATAAATAGTCTTCCTAGAATTTAGAATTTATATTTGCTTAGCTTTGATAATCAGGAAAAGAAATGAAGAATGAAAATTATCTATTAATTGGTAATTGAATTAGCAGATTTTAAAAATAATCTAAATCATGCCAGGTTTAAACTTGCATCAAATATATTATGAAACAGATCCAAATATAGATTTGAATTAAAACAGAGTAGAATCAATAGGAGAATAAAAGTAATTCACAATTTATATGTTTCATTCTGTTTCTTTTTCCCAGCTACGGTATTATGTCTTTGTTTTTCTAAGAGGATGGAGAATATTACATATAGAATGAACAGAGAAAACCATCCGATTGCACGGATAGGATATTTTCTTGTACTAGTATTTTTATACATCATTATGATTCAAAAGTAGAACTGCATATGGAAATGAATAAAAAAATCTCTTATTGTGTCCAGTCTAGATATAGCTAATTTTATATCTGTAGACTGATCTGAGAGTTCCACATCTTGTTGCCTACTAGTTAACTGTAAATGGTTCTCTAAGTCATGATGTTATATGCCTGAAAAAAATAAATTACTATTCAAGGGGAATTGGAGTGTTATGAATATTTTGTCTTGACAAACACAAGTTATAAAAAGTTCTTCCATGATCATGTAAAATGAGGGTCCTTGAATATATAGTACAAAAATATCTATCTCACCAGAATTTTTGCAGAGTCTTTTTCATACTCCACCAATTTGGCTTCCCTCCGTCCAACAGAGTGAGGGATGGAGGAATTTCGTAAAAAAGCAGCAAGCTCTGGAGTGTCTTCTGGGACAGTAAACTGCAGAAAAAGAGAAATAAGCATTAAATGACCTAGATGAAAAGACTTATATATAATTATAGAATTAATTTACTGGCATTATCAAATTTCTAAAAGTCTAAAAAAGCAAAATTTTACTGAACAGGGGATCCAAGACTCTCTTACCTTTACTTCCAAACTGTTAATTGCAGAACTTGTTTGACACTTCAGAGGTCCATGTGTTTGAATGTGGAGGATGTAAAGAAGGAATTCTGTTTTGCTCAATACCGGCCATTCCACATACAGAACTGTATCATTGATAGCACTTGGCCCAATGTTGTGCAACTATTTGGATAAATAATAATAATAAAAATATTTAACAAAATTTTTATTCACATCATTATACATTTTTTACATTATTCCTACCTCAGACTTGCAATCCTATCAATACCTCTTGAGCCAAACTTATGAAAAATTCCCCATCGTGGTGCAAACTGAAAACCTAACCTAATTAGACGATGTTTCCAAGACTTGCCTGTCTGGGTCAATATTCATTTGGTCATCATTGCTCTCACTTAACCCTGCCCAGTCCAGATGGATTGGGACTGTAAGTTGTAAAAAATCAGGTGGGATTTCAGGGAACTGGAATCTAAATATATCCCAGATGCCCTAAACTAAGGAAATCCACTTTTTGGTTGCTTTTTTCTGCCTCTCCTATGTAGTTTTTGCATTCAGGATTCTTTTCAGGCTTCCGCTTTTCAGATCATTTCCTATTTTGTCTCCATTATTTAATTAATCTAATGCTTCATCAGCCTTCCCAGTACAATTTTTTTTCTTCTGTCTCATATGAATCTGTGAGTAGAAAGACATATATTAATTATGACAAAAATGGATTAACTTCCACTTTCTTTATAAGCCTATCTTAGAGCAGGCTGAATTTCTGGGATGCGGGAGGGGGGAAATATACCGCTAGTTGTCTCATTTGCACATTTGCCTTTAGTATCACTAGGTATCAAAGGTGGTGCCTTCCCAACACCCAAAAGGATGCCTACTTAAGAAGATAATCAGATTGGAAGAATTGAATTTTGGTTTGTCTTTTTCTAGTTGAGCCGTGGATGACCTGGGGTAGGTCCATGGAAGTTATGGTTTCCATGAAATCTTGAGCTACCTCTGACCCCATTCCCAGGCATAGTCAATTGAAGTCCCCAGAATATAAGCCTAGGGAACTCCTCTGCCAGACCTGTGGTGAGGTCCAGGAACCTGGCTAGGGACACTGGTACAGCAACAGCAATCCCACCTGTTCCCTCAAGCCCAGCCTAAGAACAAGGGACTCATAGCCAGGCACTTGTGCCATGGCCCTGGAAACTATCAGAGATTCTCTGATGATAACAGTCACACACCGCCTCCTCTGCCCTGAAATCTAGGCTGGTGCCATATTCGATAACCCGCTGGACACATTTCTGAGAGAGCAACACCTCCTTCTGGGCCCAGCCAGATCTCAGTTATACAAGCCAGATAGGCCTTTTGGAAAGAATCAAGTCAGCAATAAGGCAAGCCTTATTGGGCCGGGTCCACCCAGATCTGTTGTGGTGAGTGCAAGAGATCAATTCTAAATACTGAGATTGTGTTCCCTCCCTCTTACCGCCCATATCTCCCATTACCTGACACCACTGAATTACTGTGCCCTATCCTACCTTCACCACCTGCCATTCCAACAACATTCTTTTATTGATCTAAAAGCGGAATCTCCCCCAATTGGTGAAAAGTCAGGGGTAAGGCGAGGCCAACAGGCACTATAGCACTTGCTCTCAGCACCCTCAAACTGTCACCATCCCCTTCCCTACTTAGAGGCACCTGGGGCAGACTCTTGCCCAGTTATCTGGGAATGGTTTTACCCTGCTGTTCCTGAGGAAGTGAACAGGATCCTAGGGAGTCTTGGATGGGATGGCACTGCCCTAGACAGACCCAGTGTGTAATCTGGCTGTTCTTCTGAACTCATAATTCCTGCTTGAAAAGCAGTGGCAGTCATGGCAGGAGGGCCTTTATGCAACAAATGCAGGTTGTGTGCTAGATATGCCCTTTCCTGGACCAACAATCCCCGCTCACAGTCACTCACAACCTAGTTATCTCCCATCTTGACTACTGCAATACCCTCTACATGGGACTGCCCTTGAAAAGGATCCAGAAGCTCCAAATGGTTCAAATTGAGTGGCACATTTGGTTTTGTAAGATCCAGGTATGCACATATGTCGCCTCTCCTGCAGGAGCTATATTGACTTCTGATTTGCTTCTGTGTACAAATTGTTGCTGGTTATCACCTTTAAAGCCCTACATAGATTGGAACAAGGTTATCCAAAGGACTGTCTCTTCCCTTTTAACCCAACCAACCCACCAGACTGGGGAGGCAGAGAATGTTGCAGGTCCCTTCTCCTAAGGAGATATATCTGGTGGGACCCCAAAGAAGGCCTTCTCTGTGGTAGATCATTCCTTTTGGAATATCATCCCTGTGGATGTTAAACTGGCTCCCTTTCTGACAATCTTTTGCAAGGCTCTGAAGATTTGGTTTTGCCAATGGGTCTGGGGAATCTAGAGTGGGATAGAGCCCATCAAGTTGCTTGTTTGATTGCTTTTTGTCTCCAGGCAGTACTGTTTTTATTCTTTTTATATTGAGTTTTTTGTTTTTTGTAAGCTGCTTATTGAAAATGAGGGGATGGCCGTATAAATTTTCTAAATAAATAAATGTAACTATGTGAAAGATGCTATGACTGCAACTTTGCAGTCATAAATCTCCTTTTTTGGTGCCATAACTTTGAATGATCTCTGAATGAGCAATGAGGACTACTTGTAGTCAATTATTAATACTTTGTCACAGGTATTCTCGGAATTCTGATAATTAGGTGCAAGGGATAATACTACTTCCAATATTATAACATTACAAAACTATCCCTTTAAAAGATACGTTGCTAAAGCAGCTATATTATCATTCTGGTAAATAGTAAAGTAAGTATTTTAATATGATATCCGCTCAATCAATCTTTTACAAATGTTCTCAACTCTGTAGCTTTCTTTCCCCCACTTCATATCTTACCATTACAGCTATGTTTTCAGTGTACTCAAAATAGTACTGACATATTATATTTCTTTAATATGAGGCTTTAGGAGCACAGCCAAAAAGTATGATAAGTATGCTTTTAATATACTAATGTCCTAAACTTGTGATCGCATATTAAACTTAATTCCAATTATCAGCAGCATTCAGTAAGCCTTCAATATACGACATAAAGAGTGCTTGCCTTGTAATATTTCAGTTTATAATTTTGATTATATTTTGTTATCCATAATTCCCTCTGAGATTGCCCATCCTGTCTTGCCTACTGGTTTGTAAATAAAACCATATGTGAAACATCCTGTTTCACTCTGAAATTTAGTTATCCATCAAATTCCAAGGAGAATATGCATTCATTATATATCACTCCCTCTGTAAAGGTCATCTGAATAATCCTTTGAAATTGAATGATAATAATATATATTAACATTTATTAAAGGTCCTAATTGTTTTTTAATTTGTACTTTATTGTAACTTAGTCTGATTTGTTAGGTTGCTCGATTTATCTAATATGCCTAGTTTCTGGGATAAGGGCATGAATTAAATGTTAGGAAAAATCACTTTTCTTCATGTCCCAGAATCTTAATAATATTGAAGGAATGGCTATTGAGATTTACTATCTTTTCCTAATTAAGGATACATAACCAAAGATTAAGGAATGCAGTATACTTATATATATATCTAATGATTCAGAAAGATTATTCCAGTACCTGTTTCAGAACAAAATTTTAGGAGATAAAGAGAAAACATCAAATAGGCAGTCACAGCTTTGATTTCCTAGCATAGCTCAGCAATTTAAAATAACAGATATACTTAGCCATAAATCAGCCATGGCCTCACAGATCCAGTGCAGTTCTTGCTACATTCATGCATGCCAACTGAATATAATCACTATGCTTCTTCCCCAAACATAGCTACATTCAGTTAGGAAACCAAAAATACAATAAAGCAGCACTCAATCTTTGAATTCTAATGGAATATTTCTAGATATTGAAGAATAAATAGAATTCCTAATTGGCTCAGGCAACTAATGCTGCCTAAAGCAAGATTCTGCAATCAGTATTTGCAGAGATTTGTAGTGGATTGTAGTGGAGATTCTTCCTTCCAAAGGTCTTCGGAATTCACAACAAAACTCAAAATTGGCCATGCTGTCTAGAACTGAAGGGAATGTGGCTAATGGTAATCTGGATGGTTACAGGTTCCTTACCCAGCTGAACAGAGGAAGTAAATTAAGCACAGCAAGAATATTTTCTCAATTCTCAATAAACTTCATTTTGTGTATTATGCATAAAATATGCCATTTCTTATTAGGAAGCTATTTTTATATTTATGTTTGTTTTTAACCTCATATATATGTTCCACTAAAGGTCCAATCTCATCTTCTTTGGTAGGTTCATCTTTTGGTTTCCAGTTATGAATTGGCAACACAATTTGTGGAGGATGAGAGACTCTGAAACAGTTCATAAATAAAATCACATGAGATCACTTGTTTTGTTTAACAAAAGAAATAAATGCAGAAGCAGAATATTAATTGATAGTTGATCCTCTATTGATTCATTTATATAAATCATTAATAAGTACTTCCCTAAAGATAAAGCTCAGGTAGGTTTTTTAGAAAGAAAGTTACAAATCTTTAGGTGTGCCACCGAAATGCTCATGATACAACTCTGCAAGCTTTAGGGAAGAGATAGCAACTATGATATTAGTTAAGCATATCTGCAAGATGGGGGTCAAAATATCAAAATGGTAGCACAACTTTATGATTGAGGCCTCAATAATTTTTATATGGATTCATGCACAACATGCAAAAAATCGGCAGGGCTTCAATTGCATAGTTGTAATCAGCATTTTGAATTTTTTGATCTCCTTGTGGACACTTCTGACACTAGTTACAGTTTCCCAAATGGCTACCATTTCAACATCACATACATATGCATTCATTTGGAACCTCTCAATACTCTTGTACAGTTTAATCTTTAATGCCAATACAAATTACTAAATTACTAAACAAATAATACATCAGTTAAATAGATGCCAATCAACATTCTTGATATTTTAAAGACATTATTTTGTAATAGGCAACAAAAAAAAAACACCTCCAAAATGTTTCAAGAAAGGATGTCTTTTTAACTAGATATGTATAAATTCTTTTAAAACTTCCCTTGAATATTCTTTAGGAAATAAGAAAAAGCCTTTATTATATATGATATAAGCAATGTCTATACAGCACGATATTCTTTCAGGAAATATATAGCTATTGTCAACTGGGTTCATCTATAGAATATTAAAGATATGTATCATTTTTTATTTCATCAGCAGCATTCTTATATGGATCAGATAATTAGCATTAAATATTTAATTTACATGTCAGAATATTCACACATTCAAAGAAATTATTTTATAATAATATAGTTAAGAATATTGTCATGTCCCAATAAAACTTTGGCCATATGTTCTTGAAGATGAGTTTTCCATGTTGCTGTGTTGTGCACTTGAAAAAGTTTCAAAAACATTGTGAATATCATGCCCTAAAGCAATCCTGCTACATGAACAGACCTTCTTGGGTAGCCTAAAGGAATTCTGACTATTTTTTCACTAACTTATAAATTTAAATCTAATTTATTGTGAGAAAAGACTGATCTATGAATAAGAATGAATAGAATGTCATAGTTTTACACACAAAGTTGCCAAGGACTGAATGAACTGTCAAGCTCATAATTAAAGTTTTATCATAATATGTGATCACTTAAAAAAACTATTGGCATGGATTTATCTCATTCCATCACCCTCGCACGGCTGGCAGCTTACAGTTAAGCCAATATACCAGTGGCAATATACAATCTGACCATGCATACAGCAACACAAAAAAGATGTGTAAGAATTGTTTTTCTGGTTAGGTAACCAACAGACCTTCTGAAAAGAAGTATCTTTTACGGCTTATCATATTTGAGAGTCAATAATTACAAATGTCTAAGTACTGTAATACACAGTCACAATAAATTAAATGATTATGACTATTTTATATTTGACTCAGAATAAATGTACTTACCCTCTGATCTGTACATTAGCTATTGCACTGATGTCAATCTTAAGTTCAACCAAATTACTGTTGGGATTAACTTTGTTGGAACTAAAATAAATTAGGGTAAAGTTTAATTTTATTTCAAATACATGGATCTGAAACATTTTAACTTAAATCTACAAAATTCAAGGAATACAATGCTTTTTACACCAGATACTCTCTAGATGGGTAGACTTTCTAAATATATCCTTGGTCAAAGTAAAATAGACAAATTAGGCATCAATATAGTACAGTACAGTATACCATTTATTAAACCTTATGCTTATAGAATCCATTTGCACTTTGAAAAATTATGGAGAATCGCAAAAGAGTTTATGTTTGTATGAATTATACATACTGCTATGTTCTGTATATGATACATTTGTAGAATACTCATGTACTAAATCATATCAAATAACAATATTATATCTTAGATATTAATATACTGTAATTTCATCTCATGAAAAACTATATTTTTAACAGATTAAAAAAACAATGAGAAGAGTGATTTTGTTTTAAATATTTGCAAATATATTTAATATCTTGCAACTAATTATGATTTATTTTATCCCTGAGAGGATCTTGTGGCACCCCCTAAGGTTCCTCACACCACATTTTAAGAAATCCAGGTATAGAGTAAGAATAGGTACCCTCATTCCCTTCAAATGTTTTGGACTGAACATCCATAATTCATTCCCTATTTGCCTTTTGTTGAGGTAAATGAGAAATAACCTTCAGACAATTAGAGTTTTCAGAGGCGTAACAAGATGGATTAGTTAAATATATATATACACACTTTTAAATCTGCTTCCTTTGGCATTATTGGTGGGTAGATTTCAGAAGAGTCATTATCATCACAGACTTTGCCCTCGTGGTTCAAGGGAAGTAGAAAGTTTTGCCTATGTTTTCTTATGATGTTCCGTATATGGTATACTTTGTTTTCCCCAATTATTTCAAAATTTGAGAATCATATAAATAAAGATGTTAATTATTTTTAAGGACCAAATATCTTTACCAAGCCAGACAACCATGCAAAACTTTGACTTGTTCTATTATTCTATGATAATTTCTTGGTAATATGTTTGCTCTAGGAATATATTTTCTTTCTTCTATTTGTAATGCTGTCAAAGACCTTAATAAAAAAAATTCTTTCACTGTATGTTCTTACCTTTGCATTTGGAGCTTGAATTCAACGCTCAGTTCAGGATTTTCAAAATGTTGAACAGTAAATCTGATACCTGCAGAAAACTACAGTGAAATTATATATTAAAACTATGAACATATGATTAACCTATGTTTATAAATTAATATTAGATGTTTAAGATGCCTTGAGTGAAGTCTTGTTAGTTTTTTAGTAAACAATCAACAAAAAGATGACAATTAATTCTACAGTTGTATGTACAATATTCAATTTCTCTTACATACAATATCACTATTTTTTTTAAAAAAAAACAAGAGTTTTTACTTCTCTCCTTCCCAAAGCAGTAAAATAATTCACGTTTTGAAGTCTGCTCTCTCATTATTAGGGTACTGACCTTAAGATCCAATGTATACAATAAAGAAATATATGTGCGTTTTTAATGATTACTGAAATGTACACGATTATGGTTATGCTGGCTTGAAAGCTGATGGGATTTTAAGATTACTTGATCATTCATTCCTTCCTTCATTCAGTGGGATCTTATGGATACCCAAAATAGATAATGTACCATGGAATCTATAGGTACCAATTTCCTGGCTTTGTGACATTCCTCAATATCTTCCAATGAAGAATTGGTGGTCTTAAAGCCCTGAAAGAAGCTGGCTATCATAAATTCATGAAATGAATATTCTATTTTTTTTAAAGATTTTATTGTAATGTGCCCAAAGAGGTTGGCTATCAGATGGCTTACAAATAATTCCTTTGTCTAGATAAATGTAGCATAAAACTCCCCCACAATATCCATACTGCTCAATTCTTGCAGGTTTAATAGCATATAGTATCTACTTCTGGCAGCCAAATGTAAAATTTTCTGGTTCCCTGAGTTCCACTGGAACAAATATGTACCACAGTTCTAGTGATCTATGAAAGCCTCTTTACTTTAGCCCTACTTTAATGCTTTATTTAAACATAAAATTGATGTATGTGTTAATGAGCAGCAGATGGTGTTCTGGGTGGCAATGGGTTTTAATGAAGATTTTTAATCCTTGACACTGCTAGTAATATTGAGCAAATGAGATTCACATATGCCAACAATAAAACTCCACAGAGGTTGACGGATTTTATCTCTTTAAAACAGTAGAAAAGTTTTTCAGAAAGAAGAAGGCAGGCAGGCAGGCAGGCAGGAAGGAAGCAAGCAAGCAATGTAACTTCACAAGTTTTTTAACAGAAAACTCTGTAGTATGTCCATTCCTTCAGTGACCATTCAAAGTTAGGGGAGGGCTAAATGATTGGTAGTTATGACCAGTCCCCAGAGTTCCAGCGGGTACAGAGTCCACACTATCATGACATCACATTTTTTATTTTTTTCTGCCACTTCCCACAAATAAAGTCAACGGGGAAGCTGGTGGAAAGTAAGAAATCATGATCATGTGAGGTTCTTGCTTAATGATCTATATGGTCCTCGCTTAATGATGGCAACTGGGACTGCTGAAACTATCAGTACTAAGTAACATTTTATAACTGCTTTGCTTGGCTATGGCAATTCTGGTTCTAATTGCTGTGGTAAGGCAAGGGTTACTTATACAATGAAATGAGATTATCTATGTAGCAATAGTATATTTTAAAGTTTAGTATGTCAAAAAGTCTTATTGAATCATGTCATGAAAATTAGAAATATACATATACATATACATACATACATACATATATATTTCTAATCCAGAAAATGGTAGAGGACAGGAAGACCTGGAGGAACGTTGTTCATGGGGTCGCAATGGGTCGGACACGACTTCACAATTAACAACAACAACATATATATTATATATGTACGTGTGTGTGTGTGTGTGTGTGTGTATATATATATATTTCTAAAATTTGGATTGCTAGCAAAGAATTAAGGGAGAACTGGAATAGCTATTTCGAACTCTTTAGCTCTTTTCAACCAGACATACCCTTCTGAGATTCGAACCTGGGCTGTCTGCATGTTAGGCAGCTGTATTAACCTCTAGGCCACAGGCTCTGTCTCACTTTTGCCAGCTGTGTTAGGGAGGGAAGAAACAGGGGAGGAGTTATCTAGAATGCTGTATGTTACACCCTGCTGCCCAAATATGGGAGAGAGAAATCTTTTGCCTTGTATCAGCTCAAACTAGAGCCATCCACAGGCAGCAGTCACAAATGTGACATCGTATACATTTCTAAAATTTGGATTGCTAGCAAAGAATTAAGGGAGAACTGGAATAGCTATTTCAAACTCTTTAGCTCTTTTCAACCAGACATACCCTTCTGAGATTCGAACCTGGGCTGTCTGCATGTTAGGCAGTTGTGACTGCTGCCTGTGGATGGCTCTAGTTTGAGCTGATAGCACAGCCAAGCTCCCACCCAATCAGTTCATACCTCCACTGGCAGTTAAAAGGAAGAAACAGCCAAGACCACACACTGCTGCTCGAGGCACGAAGCTGAAAGCACCAGCCTGAAGATGACGAATGGGACTTCGTCGAAACGTCGCCAAGACACTTCCAATTTTACGTGGGAGAAAACCCGAACAACCAAAGACCTACATACAAATACCCGCGAAAACCTCAGAAAACAAATATGAACCTCTACGGGGAGGAAATCCACCATCTGACCAGGACCTATGAAAAACTTGAAGTCCAAAGAGCTTCCATTTTATGCGACCTCGCATTCCTACGCAACTGCCGAGATCAAAATCTAATCCCCACATGTTTCCAACTGAAATTCCACTCCAACTCTGCAGCCACCAAACGGATCCTGAAAAGAACAGAATGGGCCCTAATCAGAAATGAACTTCACACAAAAAGATTCCTCCTAGACCGAATTAACAAAGATCTCCTCACACTCCACCTCAAACTCAGCAACAAGATCCACCCCGCACTTTGGGACAAATCCAAACAACTTGCCGTCTGGAGAGCCGAAACACAGACCACCCTTCAAGACAGATACACACACCAACAAACTCCGAAGACTACAAGAACGCCAGAAACAAACCCCTCCTCCCTCACAGCCACACATGAAGCAAACAGTGCATAACATCTCAGATAGGATCCTCACCAAAGCCGAAACCAATGTCCTTTCCAAAGGATTCAACTTTGCAGTCGCTCCCAAACACATCCCCACTGAAACCATTATATGTGGAGTTGAAACCAGCCTGACTAAAATCAACCCCGACGACGCCAACAGAATCAGACTCGAAATCACCAACATCCTCTGCACCAGCAAGCCACCCAAAAGCAACTTACCCAAAGAGGAACAGACAGCACTACGTAACCTTAAAGAAGACACCAGCATAATAATCCTACCAGCAGACAAGGGCAACGCCACGGTGGTTATGAACACATCTGACTACTAAACCAAATTAACCAACCTACTCCAAGACTCCACATACAAACCCCTAAATACAGATCCCACCACCTACCTGGAAAAAACCACCAGATCCAAAATAAAAGCCTCCCCCATTAGCGAAGAGATCCAGCAAAGAATCATTCCCAGAGAGAAATCATCCAGATGCCCCAAACTCTATGGTCTCCCCAAGATACATAAGGAAGGAACCCCACTCAGACTATAGTCAGCTCCATAGGCTCACCTCTACAAAACCTAGCCAAATTTCTCGCCAAACAACTACAGCCCTATGCAGAATCCATCACCTCACACGTAAAAAAACTCATTCCAGTTTATAGAGATCATAAAGAAACAAAACTTACAGCCCAGCGACCTACTAGTGAGCTTCGATGTCATATCCCTCTTCACCCAAGTGCCTATCAAAGAAGCCTTGACAGCTATCCAAAACAAATATAACCCCCCCAAACACATCTTAGATCTGACCAACCACTGCCTATCCAACACATACTTCATCTATAAGGACAAAAATACAAACAAACAGAAGGAGCACCCATGGGATCACCCCTCTCACCTCTCATTGCTAACCTCTACATGGAACACTTTGAAACCCAAGCTCTAGAAAAATCGGATCACAAACCCAAACTCTGGCTCAGATACGTAGACGACACCTTCATAATCTGGCCACATGGGAAAGAAAAACTGGACAACTTCCTCACACACCTCAACAGCCTACACCCCAAAATACAGTTCACCATGGAAACAGAAACTAACAACCAACTTCCCTTCCTGGATGTCTTAGTCTACAAGAAATCCAATGGCTCCCTAGGACACACCATCTACCAGAAGAAAACACACACAAACCGCTATCTGCACGCTCTCTCACACCACCACCCAGCACAGATCAACTCTGTAGCCAAGACACTCATCTCCAGAACAAACCGCTTAGCTGACAAACAACACCTAAAACCCGAACTACACACTCTCACCAATGTACTAACATCCAATGGATTCCATAGAAATAAGATTACAAACCTAATCCAAAAAGAAACCCCCACTAAAATCCAAGACAAAGAACAAGAAAACGGCAAAGCCATCCTCCCATACATAAAAGGCATCACAGACAGAATCAGTAAGATCCTCCATAAACACAACATCAAAACAGCATTCTGCACAAACAGAAAAATATCCACCATCCTTAGAAACCCCAAAGATAAAATTGAATTAGAAAATCAAGGAGTATACGAAATCCCGTGCACCACTTGTCCCACCACATACATCGGACAAACCAACAGAAGAATAAGTGCACGCACTGAAGAACATAAGAACTCAGTCAAAAAAGAGGAACCAACATCTTCCCTGGTCCAACACCTTAAAGCCACAGGACACGAAATTGACTTTAAAAATACCAGAACCATTGCCAAAAGTGAACATTTTAATAACAGAATAATCAGAGAAGCCATCGAGATAGAAAAACGCCCACACAGCATGAACAAGCGAGATGATACCTCCCGCCTACAGCCATTTGGAAACCCGCCCTTATTGACAAACGACTCCCTAACACAAAAAATGATACCAGACCCACACTCACAAAAACCACACAGGAGGTCACCACCAAACATCCACGCAAAAAAACAAACCCAAAGCCACACTGACTATGAGGCACGACCACAAACCAGAAGCCAGACCACAGCTGCATCATTAGCCACTTTAAACCCCCCCAATCCATACATGAAGCAAACTGACACCCTCCATGAAGAGGAAGCACGACCACGAACACGAAGCCAAGGAATGGCAGGGCAGCCCAACATCTTGAATCCCTCTGCAACTCAGACTAACCTGAGCACAACCAAACAGAACACTCCCCCAGCCAATCAGAGCACAGCCAATCCCCCAGCCAATCAGAGCACAGCCAACCCCCCAGCCAATCAGAGCACAGCCAAGCCCCTAACCAATCAGAACACACCTCCACCCAATCAGAACACAGCCAAGCTCCCACCCAATCAGTTCATACCTCCACTGGCAGTTAAAAGGAAGAAACAGCCAAGACCACACACTGCTGCTCGAGGCACGAAGCTGAAAGCACCAGCCTGAAGATGACGAATGGGACTTCGTCGAAACGTCGCCAAGACACTTCCAATTTTACGTGGGAGAAAACCCGAACAACCAAAGACCTACATACAAATACCCGCGAAAACCTCAGAAAACATATATATATATATATATATATATATATATATATATATATATATATATATATATATATATATATATATATACATACATACATACATACATACATACATATATAATATATCTTATCTGTTGGGTGAGCCACAAATTTTGAATATGAATAAAATAATAATAAATAAAATAAATAATATGCGATCACCAGGAGAGTTTAAGTAAGAAAAATACTTTATTAAAAGCTGCCAAACTTTCGTTGGGAACTCCCAACATCATCAGGGCTAAAAAGCCAGTTTAACAAGAATGACTTAATAGGTTTGGCTGACATCTGCATCAGGCTCCTAGACTGCGTCACCGGCCCCAGCCAGTCAATTAATGTTCCAGATGTTTCTTTGGTGTTACATTCTCTTCTGTCGTTCCTTCTGATCTTCCTACCTGCCCCTTTGTTATTAATTTTTAAATCTATTAACGCCCTCGTATCCCCCTCCCCTTCGGTGATATTTGCTCCCATCATATCCTTTTATGGATATTATTGAATATATATATATTTTCTGAGGTTTTTGCGGTGTTTGTATGTAGGTCTTTGGTTATTCGGGTTTTCTCCCACGTAAAACTGGAAGTGTCTTGGCGACGTTTCAACGAAGTCCCATTCGTCATTTTCAGGCTGGTGTTTTCGCTTCGTGCTTCTAGGAGCACTGTTTGATCGTAGCTGTTTCTTCCTTTTAACTGCCAGTGGGGGTATGAACTGATTGGGTGGGAGCTTGGCTGTGTTCTGATTGGGTGGAGGTGTGTTCTGATTGGTTAGGGGGGTTGGCTGTGCTCTGATTGGATGGGGGAGTGTTCTGTTTGGGTAGGGGCTTTGTTGTGCTCAGGTTATTCTGAGTTGCAGAGGGATGTGAGATGGTGAGCTGCGTTGCTATTGTTTGGCTTCGCGTTCGTGGCCATGCCTCATCTTCATGGTGGGTGTCAGTTTGTTTCATGTATGGATTGGAGGGGTTTAAAGTGGCTAATGATGCAGCTGTGGTCTGGCTTCTGGTTTGTGGTCGTGCTTCATCATCAGTGTGGGTTTGGGTTTACTTTTTGCGTGGATGTGTGATGGTGACATCCTGTGTGGTTTTTGTGAATGTGTGTCTGGTGTCATTCTTTGTGTTAGGGATTCGTTTGTCAATAAGAGCGGATTTCCAAATGGCTGATAGGCGGGCGGTATCATCTCGTTTATTCATGCTGGGTGAGCATTTTTCTATCTCGATGGCTTCTCTAGTTATCCTGTTATTAAAGTGTTCAGTTTTGGCGATAGTTCTGATCTTTTTAAAGTCAATTTCATGTCCTGTGGCTTTAAGGTGTTGGACCAGGGAAGAAGTTGGTTACTCTTTTTTGACTGAGTTCTTGTGTTCTTCAATGTGTGCACTTATTCTTCTGTTGGTTTGTCTGATGTATGTGGTGGGGCAAGCAGTGCAAGGGATTTCATATAATCCTTGATTTTCTAACTCAATTTTGTCTTTGGGGTTTCTAAGGATGGTGGATATTTTTCTGTTTGTGCAGAATGCTGTCTTGATGTTGTGTTTGTGGAGGATCTTGCTGATTCTGTCTGTGGTGCCTTTTATATATGGGAAGACGGCTTTGCCGTTTTCTTGTTCTCTGTCTTGGATTTTAGTAGGGGTTTCTTTTTGGATTAGGTTGGTAATCTTATTTCTTTGGAATCCGTTGGATGTTAGTATATTAGTGAGAGTGTGTAGTTCGGTTTTTAGATGTTGTTCGTCAGCTAAGCGTTTTGTTCTGGAGATGAGTGTCTTGGCTACGGAATTGATCTGCGCTGGGTGGTGGTGTGAGAGTGTGTGCAGATAGCGGTTTGTGTGTTTTCTTCTGGTAGATGGTGTGTCTTAGGGAGCCATTGGATTTCTTGTAGACTAAAACATCCAGGAAGGGAAGTTGGTTATTAGCTTCTGTTTCCATGGTGAACTGTATTTTGGGGTGTAGGTGTGTGAGAAAGTTGTCCAGTTTTTCTTTCCCATGTGGCCAGATTATGAAGGTGTTGTCTATGTATCTGAGCCAGAGTTTGGGTTTGTGATCAGATTTTTCTAGAGCTTAGTTTTCAAAGTGTTCCATGTAGAGGTTTGCAATGACAGGTGAGAGGGGTGATTCCATGGGTGCTCCTTCTATTTGTTTGTATTTTTGTCCGTTATAGATGAAGTATGTGTTGGATAGTTAGTGGTTGGTCAGATCTAGGATGTGTTTGGGGGGTTATATTTGTTTTGGATAGCTGTCAAGGCTTCTTTGATTGGCACTTGGGTGAAGAGGGATATGACATCGAAGCTCACGAGTAGGTCGCTGGGCTGTAAGTTTTGTTTCTTTATGATCTCTATGAACTGGAATGAGTTTTTTACGTGTGAGGTGATGGATTCTGCATAGGGCTGTAGTTGTTTGGCGAGAAATTTGGATGGGTTTTGTAGAGGTGAGCCTATGGAGCTGACTATGGGTCTAAGTGGGGTTCCTTCTTTGTGTATCTTGGGGAGACCATAGAGCTTAGGGCATCTGGATGAACCCCACTTAGATCCATAGTCAGCTCCATAGGCTCACATGGCAAATGCTTGTGAGAATGCGGTAAACAAAACCATAATCTGATCCAATTATGATGTCCCCTCATGTATGTATGCATGTATATGTATGTATGTATATATGTATGGGGTAATATCTGGAAACCCTGAAAGTTGTTTATAATAAAATGTTTTTAACTACATGGCAAATGCTTGTGAGAGTGCGGTAAACAAAACCATAATCTGATCCAATTATGATGTACCCTCATAATAAAAATACAAAACAAATGAAATCAGTAAATTGGAAAATAATCATGGTATTTGTGCTACTTTATATGATTCTACTCACTCATCTAGCAATATAGATATAAATACAAGTATTTTGAAAAATTGTAACAGTACAAATTAGCTTGTGTCCAAGCAGAAATATGCTCAGTGATACTTTCATGTATATGATAGAGCTGATAATATAAATCTAAATCTGGAAAAAACCATCTATTGAATTCAGTTGTCCAGGCAACTATCCATCAGATGGCAACCTAAGTTTCAATAAAAACTACGGAACTTACATGCTTAAGCCCTCACATTTAATTAATCGTATGTGATCACTAGGAGATGACAACAATGCAAATAATTAATCATCAATCACCGTGGCTAGAATGTCCCTGGAGTCACAAATAAGCTCAGTATTATCTCTTTATATATACAGTAAAATGTTCAACTACAATTTCACTCCTGCACATTTTTTAAAAAGCTACCATTCACTAACATAAGTTCTCCTAATTTTGATAGTTTTCCATTAATTCTCTAAACAGTTTAATTTGCTATAATTAATAATATTTTTGATTTTGCCTTACATTTGTTCCAGCTGCCATGGGATTTCCAAGATCACAGATCACTGCTCTAGTTTCATTTTCCATCTTATAATCACAGCTCAGCACACGTAGTGCCTGTAACCAAAGAACACCAACATGGAGTTGAAAGGTCAATCCAGAATGTATCCTGTTGGAAAAATGAATGGCCTTCAGATAGCAAGATTACTGCTGATTTCAAACAGCTGTACAGAAGTCTAAAAATTCATTCATGAATGATAAAATTGACATTCAAAAAAGAACAAACTAGGTATAAATGAAACAGGGAGAGTTCACTGGTATTATTTTCACTATATCTCAAGTATACTAGGTTGGAAAATGACATTAATAAAGCTATTTTGCCCTAATATTCTGATAGGAGAATTGGAATTCAGGATAACAATAGTACTTAGACTTATATATTGCTTCATGGTGGTTTACAGAGTGGTTTACTGTTCCAAGTGGTTTACATAGTCAGCAATACAATATATTTTTGCTGAACTCAATATATTTTGCTGATCTCTGTTTAAATTTTGGTAGTAATATTTATGTTAGAAAGCATACTACCATAAAACAACATAAAATTAAAAACAAAACAATCCTATAAAATTTAAAAGGCAAAATTGCTGTAATCTTTAAAATGACATATGTGTAGATAAAGATATAAGATCAATGAGAAATTTGTTCAGCTTTTGTTTAAGTAGTGGAAATTTGCTTTAGTAATTTTCTGAAGCTAGATATGAATTTAAATGGAATTATACATTAATTTACAAACATAATGTATATTATAGGAAAAATGCTTGCAAAAATATGTGATAAGAGAAAGTACATGTAAAAATATTTGTATTAGGATAAAAAGGCTTAAAATGTACATTTGTTTTTATTTTAGCCTAATATAGGACATGGTTTGAAGAGATTAAAGTTGGAAAAGTGGCCCATGCCTATATATAAATAGCACAACTCAAATTTAAAACACATGAACTCACAATTTTGAGGTACACCTCTAGTGCTAAATGTATTGTAAATGACTAGTACTATAACATCTACACCAGTGGTTCTCAACCTTTTTAATGCCGCAACCCCCAACCGGTCGTAAGTCGAGGACTACTCAACCAGTCATAAGTCGAGGACTACTCAACTGGTGCAGCACCATTTGGGACTTTTGGCGAGCTCAGCAGGGCAAAGACAGCCTGGACAATTCCTATTGGCTTTTGAAAGCCAATAGAATTAGACTCTATTCAAGAGAGTCTATTCTATTGGCTTTCAAAAGCCAATAGAATAAAAGGGAGTAGCACAGCTAAGGAAAAGGGGGGGGGGAAATGGTGGACTGTGTTGTTTGGCGACCCCCGTGAAATGGTCGTTCGACCCCAAATGGGGTCCCGACCCACAGGTTGAGAACCACTGATCTACACAATGGCTGATTAGTTAGGGCTACGTATGATTTCTGTTTAGCTTAAGTCCTGAAAAAAAATCCAAAATAACTTAATATGTTGAAGACTTTTCTTTCCCTAGTATAAATCCAGTGTTAACTTTTTGTGTATTATCTTTGATCTTTGGATCAGCTATCTGAATGAACATAATGAAGCAGGGGATGGTCAGCAGCAGAAGCATAGAAAGTTGTAAGACATTAGAAATTACATAAAAACAAAATACATATTTTATCTTTTTTTAACATAATTCCCTGAAGAAATAACATTTCAAAATGCATACAAAATGCTTTTAAAAATCATAATGTGATTGGAATGACTGCTATGCATGTTACTAAGCAATGTATCTTTTGCAATCTGATGGCTTCTGGATGTATTTATTATCATTCCCATCATTTACAAATGTTATGGCCAATAGGATAAGCTAATTATTCCAGATGAGGCAAAAAAAAAAAACCCTGCTAGATATTTAAAAAGGTACCTGTGTACCTGTACTAAAATACTATGATAAATGCTTCAGTTCTAACTAAACTAAGGTATAATCTAACACTGTAGTTCATAATTAGATTCTCTGGAACAAACCTATGATATCAATATTGGTGCTGTTTTACATAAATCATGAATAAACTGAGAAGGAACTAAAACAACCATCTGATAATATAGTGTGCTCCCATTAAAAAAACTGTAGTTTGAAGTCATGTCAAGTTATAGTGCATATGTTTTTGAAAAGAAAGACATGGTCTGTGAAAAGGGGAAAATAATTACAAACAGAATTGGCTGGGATTTCTATTGATCACATTGGCATATCTAGAAACAGTTCTAAAACCTACAATACCTGGAAAGCAAACTGTTTTGTTTGTTTTAATCGCAACACATGGCTTATTTTACAGCTCTGAACATATGGAAAGCCTTGTGAATTAACCTCAGAATAATCTGGAATTGTTTCAAGGGGAAACTGTTGAAAAGTATTGGGAAAAGTGATAACCTAGAAAAATTATTGGATGAACAGTTTTAATCTTTACATCTGGCAAAAAAATTTCATGACGATGATTAATCATTTATCAATCTGTGTTTCCAAAAATATCAATGCCCTGATTTTAAAAATTCAACAAGAAATCAATATTTGAGCTCTTGAAAGCTCCAAGCTCTTAAATTCTCATAGAATCAACAGGATGACCAGGAAGTACTGTACTTGGAAATTTATGGTTGTTTTGCAGAAAGCAAATATGTCCTCTCACTTACAGTCAGCTATCAAACTAAATGATTAGAGAGATTATTTTTAGCGCTACCTGGAGTTACAGAAAACTAGAGCATGTTTACCAGCTTACCATATAGATAAAATATCTATTAAATGAATAATAAATAATTAAAATACATCCAGCTGCATTAAGTCAGGATATTTTAAGAAATGGGTATACAAACACAAGATAAACTTTTTGTAACCTTAAAAGCAAACCACTTAATAGCATTATAGTAATTTCAATCCTGGTTGTGGTTAAATACATAAAGATTTAAAAATCCTGTTTGTTGTTAAATATATTAATTAAAGTTTAATTCAACAAATAATATTTTCATAAAATTATTTCCAACACAATAACCAAAAAAAAATCATTTTTAGAAAGGAAATTATCTGGGCACAACCTGTTTTCCTTTTTGGAGTATCATACTTTAAATTATTCAAAATAAAGTTCATGATGCATCAACTTTCAACAGTTTGCAGTCAGATAAAATGAAATATTAGTCTTACCCGGTGGTGCATACATGAATTATTGGTGCATCTAAAGAATAGGATCTCATCTTATTTTCAAAAGAAGAATCTCTTCTTTATATCTTTTAAGTAAAATGTATTACCTCCAGATCAGTTCATTGCTATACTTGCTACGCTTGCTCTAAATAAAGTTATTGAGACATTTTCATAACCTATCTTTCCATAACTGCAAATATCTGATAGGGATTTTACTGAAATATATATTATTTATTTCAAAATCTGGGTCACATTTTAGGAACGTGTGAATCTTTAGTTTAGTTCAAAAATCAAATTCTGAAGTGATTTATTTGAATCATGTTTTCAAACCTAGTCTATGAACTGAACTTCCAAAATAATTTTATACACTAAAACAGGTGTATTTGAATTAATGAGATCTGTTACATATTTTTATTCAATTGAACTGAATTTTCAAATTGGATTGATGATTGGAATCAATCATGCAAGTCAAATTGCAAATCTGAATCAACTAATTATTAAAATTAAATTCTACTATATACTGAACTGATATACTTCAGTTTATTTATTTATTATTTATACACACTACTCATCAAGTCTAGAGTTGGGTTTCTCCCCACCCAACCCACACCTCCACACCTCCAAATGCTATAATTTTGTGCAGATTTTGGTTACACAGTCTCCAGTGGAGACAAAAATAATTGGTATTTCTGTTGGCCATTACCTTGTTATTCCGTTCAACACCTGTGTAATCTGCTTCTGGGGGTATTGTTATATGCAACTCGGCTTCATAGGCACCTTCTCCTTCATTTCTTGAATTGATTGTAAGCATGAGATAGTTTTCTTCCCCAATTACAATCTGATCCCTATCTCTACAAAAAAGTGTTACAATCCAAACCATTATTGTGAGAATAAGATATATGTTATAAAGCTAGAACTGCAGTTAGTATGTTGCTGTAAGCATTCCTGTGACAAATTCTGAGTGAAAGTAAATACTATATAAACAGCTTGGCTCTAATGAAGCAAAATGTTTGCTTTTTTTGCTTAAATAAACAAAGTTTCAAGAAGCAAAATATACAGAAGGGATTTGGATTTTATAACTTTGTACATTTGACAAATTGCAAAAAGTAAACTAAAGACTAAAGTTAGCTCTCAACATGCAGCACTTAAAATTGATTTCTAATTGCATGCATGCCCTTTCCAATTACTTTACTATTGTACTGTATACTTTCCCTCTACACATTTTTAATGAACACCTTTATTCTATTAAGTACAATACATATGTTTACTTGTTTCAACTTACGGCATAACGGAAAGTTTCAAGTCAGGAATGCACACGTTGTCTTCTCCACAATCCACAAGAATGTATGCCTAAATTGTCCAAAACATGCATTGCTCATGTTAGGGCTTTTTGGCAGGAATTCCAGCCATTTCCTTTCTTACTTTTTGTTTCTTTTGATAGCCATTATAAATATCTTCCCTCAAGATTTTGATCCTTCCAAACTCTGATCTTAATACAACAAGCCACATTCAGTTACTTATATATGTAAAGCCAGGTTATGTTCTGCATACTGGGTGTGTATACATATTTTTCTCATTCTGAGGCAAGGCAAATGCTCTCACATCTTGTTATTGTTAGCTAGAATGAGAACTCTACAAGAATGAGAACTCTTTGAAAATGCAGTTGGAGGAGGGTAACAAATTTAAGGCTAGTGTGGTTCAATTAACTCACCACAATGAACTAATTTGGCTCAAGTTGCCACGGGAATGCTGAAACTGCTAAATACACCATCTTATAGAAAAGACTTCATAATGTGGTAGAATTTGCATGCAAAGACACATACCTGTTCCTCCATTCTGTTTTCTTGATAATAGTTCAATATTGGGCTCACAGCTAATGCATCAGAAAATGTGGATCCATCCAGGTTATAGTTCAAGCTAATATTGATTGGAGACAATTTATCTCTAAATTCAGTTTCATCCTATAGGAATTAAATTATAGGAATCTAAATGTTGATCTATACCAATTATCATTCTTTATGAACGCACAAAAGAAATATTTGATCTTTATTTCAATAATAAAATAATTAATATTCCAGTCCTATAACTATTTAGATGTTAGGATGACTACTTCCATTGGAATGCAGTTTTCATCACAAATAAATACGCATAGGCTCAGAGGCTAAGACATTTAAAAAGACAAAGAACAAATTATTAATTTCTATTAAAGCTTCTATGACACTTTGCCTCCATGTATATAAGAAATGGCTACCTAAATTTATTTCAAAAGTGATACAATGATAAAAATATTGGACTGGAGAGATCCAGTTTCAAATCCACGCTACATTATGAACCTCATCAGATCAACCATTATCTCTCAGAGGAACCTAGCTTTTGAGTTTCTGTGGAAAAAATGAGGGAGGGAGGGAGGGAGGGAGGGAGGGAGGGAGGGAGGGAGGGAGGGAGGAAGGAAGGAAGGAAGGAAGGAAGGAAGGAAGGAAGGAAGGAAGGAAGGAAGGAAGGAAGGAAGGAAAATTCTATGGTCTTCCATATAGTTCTGGATTGGTCAAGTAGATAGGGAGCTGAGACTGAGCCCATTTCAGAACAAAACAAAACTTTCAACTACTCTGTTAAATATACAAACATTAAATGCACTTCAGCAAAGAATTCTGGAGATTCCACCGATCTAAAAGGCCTAACTGATTCTATATTTTCTATAACAAGTATATTTGTTTCTGTGCCTTTTTGAAAAGTTAATTGAAAAATCATCCTCCACATAAGCAACACCACAGAAACAGAATTGAATTCAGCTACTGAAATTGAATATATCTGATGTTCTTGCAACATCTGCAAACACTATTTATACATTTGGGTAATGTATATGTGAGTGTTATTACTGTATTTGCATATATTTGATCTCAATTGGCACTAATATACTGTAGTCTATCTCATCAAATCTGATGTTGAATATACTCCATATATTTTGTGAATTTTAGATGTGTTTAAGTATTTTATATTAGCACACGGAAGCCATTTCAATAACTGACATTTCTCAATTGACATTTCACAATTCATATAGAAAGAATTTACTATTTAACAGTTCTGATAGCTGTTCTAATGTATCATAACGTCAAGATACTAACTTTAGGGAAACAATTTTTGCACTGAAATTTGCTGTGATATTTCATTATGTGACTGCCTTGTCACAGAAAGTTTTGGGGATGTATACTAGAGTCTACACTGATATTAAATAGGGTTTTGCATTTTCATGTGGTTTACATTGTAAAAAATGTGATGGGCAATAGAAATAAGACAATATTTCATGAACTTCAAATATTATATTGTAATTTAAACAATCAACAAGCAATCTTTTGAGAAAAAATTAAAAACCCAAAAATTATTTCTTTGATTTTCACCAAAATGTTGAATATTTAATAAAGGAGAAAATAATCTTTAATTTGTATGATTTAGATAGTTTCAAATTTTTCTTAATGCTATATGTACAGTCCAAATAAGGTAAATGGGATCAATAATACACCTAATGTGCAACTCATTATTTTATCCTCCTCATTTGTTGAGTGTTTCAGTAAAGTATGGTTATCTTTCAACTATTATAAGTTTGAAGGAGAAATCTATTATTATTCTAAAGCCATATAATTAAAATACATCAGATTTACAAAACCAATTATATTTTTTTAATTTATTTTACCTGTCATTGTATACTCATCCATATTCAACTAATTCCAGAATAACTATCCTGAAAGTATGATTTTCTTGACCAGCAAAGAACAAAACTTACTCTAAGATAAACCACAAAGTCCTTGCAAGTGAGCCAATTCTGTGTAGTTATCATGAAGGAGAAGACATGCTGTGACTGATGATAATCAAGGAAGAGAGTCCTCTTAACAGCTCCTTTGGTTTTTAGTGAATCTAACTGTAGTTCAGCTTTCAGAACTAAAGAACATTAGGAAACAAAATGTTGTAAAAGGCAAATACTGTCCTTCACATTCTGCTTTGATTTAAAAGAAAGCTGCTGTTTTTGTAGTTTCTATACATTCAGTGAATCAACTGTCTTTTTCTATAAGTAGGATATCTAGGTATTTCTTATGATATTATAAGGCAGAAAAGAAGGATTATTGTGAATTCTTCACTGCCTTTTAACTATAAATTCACCACATCAAAACAAAAATGTACAATATTTCTACAATACTCTCCCAAGTAAAATGGTTTTAAATTTTACATTTTTGACAGAGCCAATGCTTTCACAGCAGAACTAATACCAGCTATTTATTCCCACAAAGATAGATGTTATTATCTCTATTTAATAATAGAGACATTATTGTTATTATTATATAATTATATAAAATCATTATCATTATTATTATTTCATAATAATGTATATTTCATGACATTATTTGAACGGCTAAATTCTATGCTGGGATAAGTGCTGGATTAAATGGCAACAGCTGTCCTCATCCCACAGAGGCTCTGAGAAAATGAAGACAAAGTTCAGGCAAACTGGGAAAATAAGATAATTGCTGCAGTTGCCTTCATCCAGCACTTCTCTTCAGACTGAGAAATTAAAGAAATGCCAAATTCAGAAAGTGCCACTACTCTTCCTCTCATAGCCACCTATTCTCTTGTGCTTTCTGGCTAAAGCCCCACATTAAATCTTCTATAATCTAGACCAAGATATTTCAACCTGTATTCCATGGAACCCTAAATTCTGTGAGAACTTGATGGGATTAAGAGAAAGATTTTAAAAAGTAAAAGTTCACTTGAATCCAGCCAATATTCTATCACTATTGCTTTATCTTTGAAGCAGGAGTTCAAGGTATTTTTATTTTTGTTTGTTTTTTGGAATTAAAAGGTTCTATAGCCTGAAAAAGTTTGAAAATCCTTATGGAGAAGAATCTAGAGCAGTGTTTCTAAACCTGAGCATCATTAAGATATGTGGGCTTCAACTTGCAGCTGGCAAGTTAGAGTTGAAGTCCATACATCTTAAAGTTGCTGGGGATTCTTGTCCTTAAGAATTTCACAATTTTCTCCTTTGGCTCAAAACTATCATTATCTGAGAAATACTCAGTGATGAATAAAAATTAAGTCACTCTCCTCACAGCTCTCTTGCTGGTCTGAGGATACAGCCCTGCCTCAATTTCAGAGTAATCACTTCTCCTGTCTGATAGCCAAGTGAAAATATATGGCTATAAATACAGCTGGGTCATCTTGAAAATTCACAATCAACACTAGCGGGAATGGTACCATTGAAGCACCAAGCCCTGCTAATCTTTCTGAGTCCTTTGCTGAGTAGTATATATTACATCCACTTCCAGCTGTACTAGGAAAAGCAGCAATCCAAAGATCACCTAAACATGAGGGAAGATTATTTAAAATGGAATATGAACCACTTACTACTAAATAAATACTGGCTGTTAATTCATAATCATGTTTCATGGGCTTAGATTTTATCTCATTACCTGGTTTCTTATAGCACAGCGACTGCAAAATATACACTTATTTATTTGTTTACTAATTTAGGATAGATGGCAGAACAGTTTACAAACAAAAAAGTAAAAACAACAAACAAAACCAACTAATCAAGACAATCAAAAAATTCAAACTAAAAAGAGCTAATAATGAGGTCTCTGTCTGATGATCACCTAAAAATCTCAACCTCATATTAACCAGGCAACCCAATATTTTTGCAATATTTTGTATTGACTGCCAATTGGTTAAAAGATGCAATTCAATATTCTCATCACCTTCAAAATCTTATATGGTTTGGGATGTGGATCAGTCCACTCAAATGTGCTGAAAAGTGTGCTTGCTGAGATTCCCATTCTTTGTCAGGTATGTCCAGAAGAGAGTTGAAGGCCAGCATTCTCTGCAGAGATTTCTCTCATGTGATATACCCTCATCAAAATGTTAGACATATATTCCCTTTTTAATATTTGGGAAACTATTAAAATATAGTTTTCCATTGTGAATTTGAAGACTGTGTAGAAATACTGTAGACAAAATGTCTGACTATGAAATGAATTTTCTTATTGAAGAATACTACATAGTGCTACAATTATAATATACTATAGTAATTGTTTATGTTTATGGTTTGATGTATTTAATATTTTTCTTTGATTGTTGCATTATTCTGTTTTTATATGTTGCTGTTTATAGTAAAATATTTAATGGACCCATTACGACATTTAAAAAGCAAGAATAAAATCTAATACAATGAAGATTTAATGTCTGCTGAAGTGGAAATTTTTAGTTTCTCATCTTAAATAATTGCAGTGAATATATCAACTGCCTCCTCCTTGATTGTTTATTCTATTAAGGACTAGAGATAAGTCTTTTCTTTTTAAATCCTTTATTTTCTTAGGGGCAATTCAAATGAGAACTCTGAAGAAGATTTTAATAATTGAGAAGAAACAAATGAAATAAGGTTTCAAGGATAAAAGTGATATCATTCACTTCATTTGTGTTCTTGAAATTAAAGGTCAAAAGTTATGATGTTAATTGCATGTATTTGTCAAAGTGACATCTTTTCTTAACAGGGCAGTAGCAACTTATGGAAGCAAATTTTTGGAAGAATTGTGTCAGAATCCTAAATTCTCCTGTCACCTGTTAATCTTCCAGCATGGTGATTTCCATACGTGTTGGGTTACAGTTTCCACAATCTAGAACTTGTATGACTTTTAATTACATATAATGGAGAGTTATGGAATTTGAAGGACTCTGGGCTGAGGATGGTTGACTTAAAGCTTTTATCAGCAGCAGCAAAAAGTATGCTTGTTATTTGCATTCCTGGCATAAGTACCTAGTTTTAAGAATGTTAACATTTGGCTATAAGAATGTTAAATTGTGCAGACCATAAATAGATCCTTAACTTTTAAAATATCCCTCAATGTTCTCATGCAAAATTTCAAACTCCCCCCAAATCCTGCAACCTTCAGTGCCAACATGCAAATATTAAAAAAGACTTACCTATTTTATCTGAAAAACCTGGACTTTGAAAATCTGCACAAACTGTTACAGTAAAACTGTAAAGGAAAGGGGAAAACACTCTTATTGAAGTTCTAGTACACATTTAAAAAAACCTTGTTAACATGTGTTTTCTTTTGTCTTCTCCTTTATAAAACCTGCCATATAAAACATCCTGCTCAAATAGCGTTTTGATTATTCATTCATCCATCTTCCATCTCTACTGCTTAACTAAAAAAAACCTAATTCTGATTTTTTTTCTAAATTATCTTTCTAGACAATATCATTAAATAATTATGCTTTTTAAACTAGGGATCTCTAGCTCTTAAATACCAAGACCTATGCCCAGTCGTCTAACAAAATCAAAATAATCAAAAAATGTAGAAATTTGGACATGATTTCTCACAATTTTTATTTAAATAACATTTATAAGAGCACAAATCACTGATGGATTTAACAAATCTATTTTACATATCCTAACTAAATGGCAGCTCATCCTTTTAGAGATATTATCCCTTACCATTAGGTCATTTTTTTTTAAAAAAAAAGATGCATATTGTGATTGGTTTGCTGTTTAATTGGTCTGTTGTAAACTTGGCCTTAGCTTCCAGGGATAATTATACTGCGGCATTAAATATTTTATATATCCCATTTATCTGGCTATTGCCTAGTCATTGTTATGACTGTTAAATCATAATCACATAAATCAAAAAACATTTCAGTTATATGACTTTCTCCTGTATATAAATATAATATAAATTTTATAATAATATAAATTTTAATCAGCCTGTATTCAAAGGGCTTTAAGAAATAACCACATATAGGTGGTTAAATCATTATAGACCGCACCACCACTACTACAGATACAGAATACATACATTTTGTACCACAGAACTACAATTTACTGCTAATCAATATTGCAGTAATTTTATTTATATATCGCATTTAGAAACTGTCCTTCTTCATAGATAAACTCTGGGCAGTGTACAAGATCCATCATGTATGATTTGATCTCGAAGACAATCTCTATCAGTATATTCCAAACTGTGTAAATTAGCCAAAATTAGTAAAAATGTTTTTTCTTTGGGTAACATCATACAAATTCATTATCCAGTCACAACGTGGACATTTAAATAAAGACTTACTGATAAATGGTGAAAAGAAAAAAAAGAAAAAAAATCTTCAAAAAAGGGGAAAAAAACAGGCCCAGGAAACTATAGACCAATCAGCCTAACATCAATACCTAAGAAGATACTGGAAAAGATAATAAAAAACAGATCTGCAAACACTAGAAACAAATAAAGTTATAACTACAAGCCAATATATATTTGTTAAAAGGAAATCATGGCTAACCACTTTAATTTCATTCTTTGATAAAGTGATTAAATTAATAGACCAGCAAAACGCTGTGGACAGTGGTGGGATTCAAATATGTTAACAACTGATTCTCTGTGTGGATGCTGCTTCCGGAAGTCCATTCTGGGCCTGGGCAACAAAAAATTAGCTACCGGTTCTGCCGAACTGGTGCAAACTGGCTGAATCCCACCACTGCTGTGCACATAATATACTTAGACTTCAGCAAGGCATTCAACAAACTAGACCATAACATACTTCTTGATAAGCTAAAAAAATGTGGGATAGACAGCATCATCACCAGATGGATTTATAACTGGCTGACAAACTGTACTCAATCTTAATGGCATTACATCTATATGGAGGAAAGTAAGCAGTGGTTCTGTCTTAGGCCCAGCAATCTTCAATATTTTCATACTATAATTGACTTAGTTGAGGAAATAGAAGGGAAACTCATCAAATTTGTGAATGACACTAACAGGGATAGCCAACACCCAGAAGACAAGCTCAGGATCCAAAAAGATCTTGACAGACTTGAACAATGGGCCCTATCTAACAAAATGAAATTTAATGTGGAGAAAAGCAAGGTTATTCACTTAGGCAGGAAAAACCAAGTACAAGTACACATTAGGTGAAACCTGGCTCATAAACAGTAACTGTGAGAGGGATCTTGAATCCTAGTAGACAGTTTCTTAAATATGAGCCAGCAGTGTGTGGCAGCAGCAAAAAAGCTATCCTTGGTTGTATAAACACATGCATAGGATCAAAATCATATGAAGTATTAGTACTGCTTTATAAAGCCTTAGTAAGACTACACCTGGAATACTGCATCTAGTTTTGGTCACCATAATACAAAAAAGATATTAAGACTTGGGGAAAAGTTCAGAGAAAAATAACTAGGATGATTAAAGGCATGGAGACTAAAACATATGAAGAACAGTTGCAGGATTTCAGTATGGCTAGTCTAGAGAAAGGAAGCACTAGGGGTGACATGATAGCAGTATTCCAGTATTTGAAGGGCTGCCATAAAGAAGAGGGGGTCAACTTATTTTCCAAAGCACCAGAGGGCGGGACAAGAAACAATGGGTGGAAACTAATCAAGGAGAGAAGCAATCTGGAATTAAGGAGCTACTTCCTAACAGTGAGAAGAATTAACCAGTGGAACAGCTTGCCTTCAGAAATTTTGGGTGCTTCATCACTGGAGATTTTTAAGAAGAGGCTGGACAATCACTTGCCTCAAATTGTATAGCGTCTTTTGCTTGAGCAAGGGGTTGGAGTAGAAGACTTCCAAGATCTCTTCCAGCTCTATTCTGATTAATTGAAAGGTCTTTCTTATAAGGGATTTTGGATAACGAAGGAAAAGATTTGGTAAGCACTGGCTTATATGTTCAAAGCTATATAAGAAAAACAAAAGCCATACACAGCATAATGTGTTAGCTTTTCTCAGTGAAGCTCTCTCTCAAAGAGTATAAATGGCTGGGAATTATCAGGAATACAAGTTTGGGGTAGTGGTTTTATAGAAATTAAATATTCCTAATATAGCAGCAAAGCATTCCACATATTAAGTCTTCTTAGATGCCAGAATTGGGCAAAACTGTAGAATATATATAAGCACTTCACATTTACCCAATAATGTCATTACTATCATTATAATGCAAAAACTCTTATATTACTTAATTATAAAAATGGAGAATTGCAAAATATATAAAAAAGCACTTTCAGTAAATTATAGTACACAAATAGTTTATTTTTAGTTCTATGTTACCAACATTATTCAACCTGGAGTTCTGTAATTGTATTAAACTTCAATTTTCCTAATTTGTTAATAGCATGTGTTCCCCGGAAATTATGCAGGTTTAATTCATACCACCTAGTAAGAGAATCATATATAGCTAAAAACAAAATAAGTTGAAGTTAAAATCAATCTCTGAGTGTAGCAAATAAGGCTTATCATCATTGACTCCAACAGTTTTTACAAAGGGTTATTTTACACTTTCCCAAGAATTATCAAATTCTTCTGGCTCTTCTGAGAAATAAGTAAGATGTTTCTTAAAATGATGGGTCAAAAAAGGAGTGAAAAAAAACCCTTGCAGGTGGCATAATTACATGTGACAATTATACCTAAGCATGTAAATTAGTCTGATCTACCTTAAAGAGCTGAGAGATTCAAGGAGCTAATTATCTCTTTTGAAGCCCTGAATTGCACAGAGATTTTCTCTCCCTGAAGGTATCTGTTCCACTAGATCTGATAGGGCATAGGTGTTTCAGGTCCTTATCTTAAATATATGCCATTTAGTGGGACCAAGAAAGCAGGTCCTCTCAGCAATCACTCTGCCTTTTGAAACATCATTCCCTTTGAGATCCATCAGATCCAACTTTAAAGACTTGGTTTTTCCTACAAATATTGGGACAGTATGAGGTTGGAGCCCAGTAATGTTCCTTGTGCATATGTGGGACATATGTGGAGATACTGTTGCTTGTGAGCTGCCCAGAGTTATGTTGCATAAGATATAAAAACAAAAAATACATATCTAACTTTGAATCAAATAAACAAACAAACAAATAATCAATCAATCAATCAATCCAATGACTTACAATAAAGCCACCAAATAATTCTAACTTAAAATTTAGGACTACTGTTTTGTGTATCAGCACAAAACATTAGGCATAATTATCTTAAGTCTCATTACTTTCAATAAGTCTATAGCATGGCAATATAAACTTCTTGATACCTGCAATAGAGTGTTCTATTTGTTTTCCTTTTTTTCAAGTGCATTTAATTAGGATATGTTTTATATGTCAATGCTGTAACATTGGATGTTCCTGCTCTGACAACTGATGGAAATTGCAGCCATTTTTATGTTTCTTTTAACATGTTTTTTCTTTTGTTTAGAAATTAGGTGTTGAAAGGGGAATGGAGTGAATGCTTGAACTCAGCTAGCCATAATAACAATAAAGCTCCATGGGAACTCAAGGACACAAACTGATAATGTTTTGGCAGGCTGAAGAGCTGGGGAGAGAGCCCGGGCTAATTGGAGAATGTGATTTATGACTGCTTTGTGGGGCTGGGACTTGCAACTTGTTACTTTGTATCTGGGGGAAGGGAATCTAGGTTTTGGGTTCAACTATGTAGTGGCGATATTTTGTTTCCTGAATAAAATGTTCTCTAAGGAATAATTCTTGCCTTAAGGTTCTTTAATGGGTTTCATTTATCAGAACTATGACATTATCTATATGGATGTGTTTTGGATGAAGCATGTAACCCTTAGCATCAAAATGATCCTTCTGTTGATTGATGCCACATTTTGCTGATTTATAGCTATTCCTGCAGAAATATTGAAGAGTTGGGATACAGAAAGTAACATCTTATTCAAATTTTAGCCAGCCTAAGATTATAGAGGGGGAACATGGTGGTGCAGGGGCTTAGTGAACTGGAATAGCTGGCCAAAAGTGATCTGCACTCCAATGGTTTGAGCCAGGCTCCTGAGATGAGTGGGCTCCCATCGCTTGATCCTTAGCTCCTGTCCATCCAGTAATTTAAAGGCATGTAATATTGCAAGTACATGATTAGAGAGAAGTGTGATTAGAAAAAAAATAGCTGTGTTCATGTGTCGGAAAACAGAAGTTGTAGTTGGATGCGAGGCATCGCGACACAAGGTGAGGCATAACTGGTGCAGGAGCCCAGAAGAGCCAGCAATCCAAGCACCACTAGTTAATTGATGTAAAGCTAGTTTGCCTGCCACGGTGCATCAATGATGGATACGCAACCATCAGACAGAATGAACTAGGTTGTTCGGACTGCATTACATCAGAATAGATTTTCCTGATATTGTAAACCATGTGCTAAATAAATTCTATAGAGACTAAGAGGCATGGTGGCACAATGGTTAGAAGGCAGTACAGCAGGCTACTTTTGCCGACTGCCGGTTGTCAGCAGTTCAAGTCTTACTTTGACTCAGCCTTCCATCCTTCCAAGGTCGAAAGATTGTTGGGGGCAATATGCTGACTCTGTAAATGGCTTAGAGAGGGCGGTAAAGCACTGTGAAGTGGTATATAAATCTAAGTGCTATTGCTATTGTTATCACTAACTTAACTTGAATTCAATATTCAGTTTACTATATCATCCAAATTTTAAATATTTTTTTATGATTTCTATGTATGAAAGAAAACAAAGTTCACACATTTTAGTAACAATTCCCCATCTGATTCAAAACAATATTTTCTTTATACTTGATACTATTTTTACATTATAATTCAAATCTTTAGATTTCTTGGCCTTTTTAATGGTTCATATGAATTTTCATTCATTTCATCTTGAAATGTCAATCAAAAGGCTTTTTGCACAAGTTGCACAGCTGGCTAAGAGATACAGAAACCTATCCCATGGTGTGGAGGAAATATTTGTCTCTTGGAGTTTCCCTAATAATTGTTTGCATATGTATAACTTTAGGTTATAACTACAGAAAAAAAATAGAGAATGAAAAATTAGCAGCTGTTCTTCAATCATTTGAGAAGACTGGGTTAATTTTTTTATAGTAAGAGTTAAATCTCCCAGGACACTGTATTTTATAATGTAATAGTACACTATAACCATCTAACAACTATTGTATTCATGTAACACTTTCACTGATACATCTATCAGAAAAATCATATTTAAGCAATCTTTTTCTCATAAAATCCCATTCAAAAATGCTAGGAGAAATCAGAATGTAATTGTGTTTTTCCTACTTATGTACGAAAAAAAGAATTCTGACATGGTTAGATGAATTGAACAATATCCAGCTGTAGTCTCTCACAAATTAAATTCTTTGCAAATTAAAAGTATATCATAGAAATACATTTGAAACTATATTTGTGGAAATACTTGTGTTTTCTAAAGCATAAATTTATAATTATGTTCAAAATGTATTTAAAAAAATTAAACCCACCAACATGCACTGGAACATTCCATCAATTTTGATTTTCCTATTATTTTAGCTTGTTATCTGTAAATTAAGCTTCGATATATCTTCATCTCCAATTGCTTGGCCTCAAAATGTGTTAGATTTCAGTTCTCTCATAAGGCTACACTGGTGCAACATAAATCTAGAGCAGGAGCTTCCAATCTGTGGCCGTGTGAAGGGATGGCTAGTGCATGCACATGCGTGCATGCAGTCACCCCCCCATACTCGCACTAGTGCCATCTTGAGCATCCCACCAGCACTATGGATGCCGAGCATCCCACTGGCACTAGCACCCCCCAAGTGTCCCGCTGGCACTAGGGCCACCGAGGATCCCGCCAGCACTAGCACTGTCCCATTTACAGCATTTGTGTTTGTATGGGTACATGCACTTGAGCATGGCCCATTTATGTGTGTATATGTTCGCATAACGGTGCCTGCCTTCCTTTTTGGGCTGCCAAACCAAAAAGGTTGAGATCTAGAGAAAATTGGGTTGTCTTTAGTAGTATACCTATACAATCTACTTTTTTAGAGGTGATACGTTCCAGTTGGGTAAATAAAGAAGCAATTAAGCACAATTAATTAAACTATATTTCTCAGCCTGCCTTGAAGAAGTATTTCACAAACTAGACTAGGCAAAAGATGGAATAAAAATCAATGGCACCTATTTTAAATCACTTAAGATTTTCAGATGATGTTGTTTTCTTCTCACAAGACTCAGAAAAGCTACAAAGACACATACAAGAGCTGCACGAAGCAGGAGAACCATTTGGCTTAAAAATAAACCTGAAAAAGAGCCAGGTTATATTTAATAAATTCAATAAAGAAAGAATTTTTTTATATCTGGAGAAAAACTAGACATAGTAGACCACTATATATACCCTGGCTAATGGATCTCAATGGAAAGTGGTACAATAAAGAAAATTGAATGGCGTTTTAAATGTGGTTGGCAGACATTCAGCAAGCTTAGCATAATTTTCAACAACAACCTTCCTCTATGCCTGAAGAGAAAAGTTTTCAATCAGTGTGTGCTATCTGCTCTAACATATGCCGATAAAACATGGACACTAACCTCACAATTTATACAAAAACTATGAGTGATGCAAAGAGCCATGGAAAGATACATGCTTGGCATTACAAGACAAGATAGAAAGACCTGCACATGGATTAGAGAACAACAAAAGTATACAATATCATCAAGAGAGTAAAAAAAAAATGAAATGAAAATGGGCTGGTCACGTAGCAGGAAGAACTGATGGGAGGTGGACCAAGGCAGTCATAGAATGGATCCCATTTGATAAAAAGCATCCATGAAAGAGACTTAAAACAAGATGGATTGACAACATCAACAAATATTGTGCGCCCAATTGGCACAAGAAAGCTCAGGACCGTATTAGTTGGAAACATGTGGAAGAGGTCTTCATCCTGCAGTGGATAGACAGTGGCTAAAATGATGATGATGAATTAAACTATATAGTCCTTCATGTTTCCATAGAAGGTATATCTTTCCATAGTTTGTTGATTGTTTAAAAATTCAAGCATTGATTATTATGTCTTATGTACAGAGTACTGACCTATACTCAGCACAATATGATCATTAGACTTGCATTTAAGCTTCATATACAATATGGTCAATTTTTACTGAACATTACGAGTTTGTCTCAGTGGTGAGATTCAAATATGTGAACAACCGATTCTCTGTGTGGATGCTGCTTCCGGAAATCCATTCTGGGCCTGGACAACAAAAAATTAGCTACCAGTTCTGCCAAAGTGGTGCAAACCAGCCCAATCCCATTACTGGGTTGTCTTCAGTGTTGCATTTACTCCAGAGAAATATTTAAAAAACAGCTTCTGATAATGATATCATTATCTGATATCTGACATCAGCCAGAGCATAGAAAAACTTAAAAAAGAAGTGGAGAAACCTGGCCACTCAAGAGTCGGACATGATTCAATGTATAACATTGTCATCAGGCTTTGCGTAAGATTTTTTGGGGGCTTCTGTTCAAGCCTGTACAAACTAGGATTATAAACTGGCCAATGCCATAATGTTGAGATTGTGTAGTTTTGAATTAGCTTGATCATAAAAGTAAGAACTCAGTGAGAAAACCCATTTTGCAAGCAAACCAAGAAAGCTTGTCTGCAAAAAGTTTTTTAATTTTTCCAACCTACCAGGCCACTAAGGTCATAGAACCAGGAAGCTCACAGGTTTTATTTTCTGGATTTACAATCACTGGGGAGAGAAGAAGCTGAGCATTTATCGTCACAACTGGTCTTGCTCTGAAAGGCAATCAAAAGTAAATCAAGACATATTTTATACAAACACAGAAGAGAAGACAAAAGGTGACTTTTTCAGTTTCTGTGGATGTTCATGAAATTTAGAATTACAGAAAATATAGATTACACTTCATGTACACAATATACATTCAAAACACCAGCAGGGACATGTATACAAAATACACACATCAAGATGAGACAGATCTGTCTACAGGGATGATGCACAAAACTCTGCTTTCAATGTTAATGATTCACTCATGTCTGCATATATGATAGCATCTCTCTCTGATTTCTATTGATAGCAGTTAGCCAAATACTCTACAGAAAAAGATGCACAAGTAGGAGAAGATGGTTGTTCTTCTTACTAAGATTCAAAACAGCAGGGGTTTATTTCATCAAATAAACAAATAAAATGTATGCATCACATTCCAACAAAGTTCAAAGGCAAATTATAAGGCTGCTGTTCCCAAGTGTGTACCACAATGCCTCAGGGTGCCACAGCAAACTCACAGGAACTCTACTGGATAACACAGTGATATCCAACATCTGTCAGACACCACACAAACTTTAAACCTAGAGGTACCATGAACAATTATTGGGATACTAAGGGAATTGTAAACCAAGAAAATTTGGGAATCTTTGCCACAGGTTGTTACTTTATATAATTCTAACATGGTAAAATATAAAACAAAATTAGTGCAAACCTATGCTTATTTACTCATATATAAATCTGAGTTCAGTGATATGCTGTAGATTAGAAACTTGAATTTAATCAATGGAGAACCATTTTATCAAAAAGTATTTATAGAATAGGTCATTTAAAATTAATGGAATTAAACAAATCATGAAATCACCTGAAACCACCCTTTGATGTCACAATGAATGACATTTGAATGACAAAAAGCCTAAAGTGTTGTGTTATAAAATAACTATTTTTAAACTAAGTGTCTGCAACAATGTCTGAAGTTTTTATAGACAGGTTTATAAATAAAAACTGCATGACTCAATAGCAATCCAGGTACAGGCATCAAGTGTGAAATCCTTTTTTCTCCATCCAGATCCTCACAGCCTCCATGTACTGGACTGCCAAAGGAGGAAATAGCAGGAGGAACAAAGCTAAGCCCAAGCACTTAATGCAAGGTTTGGTGTATGACCTGTCCTTGGCCTATCCTGGCCTGCCCATGTTCTGCACTGTTTCTTCTCAGAATAAGAGAAGATCTGTTTTGCCAGACTATCAGAAATATGTTCTGTGTATAGTACTTCTATTCTTCTGGACTACGAGTAACTGGCACTTACTGATATTGCTAAGGGGATATGCCACTTTGTTTAGAGTTATCCTCACCTACAGAAATTCAAAGTTTGCTCTTTCCATAGTATGGTTGTAGACTGCAGGAAATGATTTGGCAGACCTATTATGCCCCACAGTTTTGGGAACCCAGCTCTGGAAGCAAGCATCGATTGATTTAGGTTACTTAAATGGCAGGGGCTTGACTGTACCTTCTGGATATCCCGTACAGCACTTTCTCAGATGTCATTTGGGACTTCTTCTGAATCTTACATCCTCAATTGGTTATATAAGTTCTTCTACTTGAGCAGGGGGCTGGACTAGAAGACCTCCAAGGTCCTTTCCAGCTCTATTCTATTCTAATTGGGCTTAGTTACGTGCAATAAATTTGCTACTATATCTATGGCTATCATGCTAGTGCTTACTCAAAAATCAGTATGCAGAGTGACCAAAGCATTACAGAAGAGGGAAAGATATTCAATATTTGTCCCATTTTACCAATTGAAGAGATCAGGCTTTTAATATGTGTAAAACTGCCTCAACAATATAACATTCCTTCTCAAACATACAGAGAATTTTTGCTGTTTTTATATTTTCTCTTTGTGATTAATATACAAGAAAAAAGGACCATTTTTTCCAGACTGTTTTATGGTATAAAATAGATGACAGATCTTAAGCCAAAAAAGAAGGATCATCACAGAAAGAGCAACTAAAACAGACAAGACTATAATAAGTGAATTAATTGTCTCCTTTTTGTTAACTCTTCTAGAAGAAAATTATAAAGAAATTATTATGGAGTTCATTTCCTTAATAGCACAGAAAGCAGACTAAAAAAAATAAATTCAGCATAAAATTATAGCAGTAGTTAAATTCTTCCATGCACACAACAGTGTAAAATCAATTTAAATGCTAACTATATTTCAACAGCATGAACTTTTTCAAACATACAGCAGTTTCAAACTTTAAAAATCCCTGTTATATAACTGTTCGTACAACCACTCTTTGATGATTATACAGCCTTACAAATCCAATAAACCCAGTTTTATTACTATTATTCTAAAGTAACTGATTTGCTTCTACAAAATAGAAATCTTTTTCTGAAATATTTTGGTTCTGTTATGAGTTCAAATACAGTTTGAAAGAATGGGCTTATGAAAGAATAGTTTTACAATGTCAAAAACATTTTACATATGTATGTTTTTTTATTAAAAGATTAAGAGTAGAGAGAGTAGGAATACTAGCATTGCATACCTGTAAACAACTACTTTTCCAACTCCAAATGCACCAACAATTAGATCTGTAAATACATATACACATTTTTAGAACAGGGTAAAATAGTTAGCATAATAATTACAACCGACATTATTGTTATGAAAATTAATAAAACTACTAAATGTACAGCTATAATATAGAAGCACAAAAATTCACAGAAACATTCATTTTTCTAAATTTATCTTAATTCAGATTCCAGGCATCTGGAATCCGATACAAACACACACATTCTTTTAATCAAAAAAGGCAATGACCCAGCTTCTACCCAAGTATCAAAGTATATTTTACTCCTCTTCATTATTTGTACCATTTCTTATCCATACCCTTTTCCACGCTCAAAACAATAATTAAACATTTCAGTCAAACAAAGAAACCCAGCCACAAAAATCTCTCTTGGTACCCTGTCTAAACAACTAGGATGGCTAATAGGTTGGCCCAAATGGAGGTCTGGGTGCTGGAGAAACATTAGGACCAAGATTTGTAAAACTAATAATGGATGGAAGACAATAAAAATATAAGTGGTGCAGTAGACTTCAGGCTGAAATAATTTAATTGGTTTTAACATAGTTGTTTTTATATAACTTCATCTCTTACTATTAAACAAGATACAACACTTAATAAAACAATATTTTTTAAAAATAATTATTTAAAATAATTATTAGGAATACAGTATTCAAAACATGTATCTTTGTGCCTTTCATAAATGTAAAACTTCACAGAAAATAGACTGATTTCCTTCTTTAGCTTGGTCTGGCTAAGGACTACTTTAAACATCCTGAGTGCCAAAATCATTAATGAGTTTTATAAACATTTTGCATTCTGCAAAAGAAAATAATCAAGTGTTCAAGTTGTCTACATTATCAGAAGTTTGGCAGCACTGTTATCCTAAAAATAGATGTTTTGGGGAATACTGTTATACTTCTTCCTAGAAAATACCAGACACAATTTGTTAGCTGAAAGCAAAATGTTTGACATAAGCAGAATATTTCCAACAAAATAAACTATTGTATTACTAAATGTCTATGGAGATTCTCAGTCATCCAGGTCGTAGTTATCCCAAATATGTTTTTTTTTTCCACAAGGCAACTGGACTTTGTTTTTCTTTGAAGAGTTTCGCTTCTCATCCAAGAAGCCAACCATTTGAAGCGAGCAGCCTTGTCCATAGAGAGAGAAGAGGAGAGAGTGAGGGTGGACGAGCCGAGTCTGTGGCAGGGATAACAAAGGTTTGGGAGATGCTAGCACGAAAGTTCCGCGTCTTTTGACTTACCTCACCTTGCCCCCTCCACTGATTCTTCGCCCAAACAAGTCACCCTCTCTCTCTCTTTCTCTCTCTTTCCTCTGTCCCCCTCTCTCTCCAGATGAGGAGAGAGAGAGAACAAAAGGCAGATGGCGCCGAAAGGGCAGGGAGGGGAGGGGGCAAGAGGCAGTAGAAGGCGCTGAAAGGCGCCCGGGACACCATGGACTGGCCCGGGGAGATGCGTGGTGAGCTCGGCTGCCTAGGGAATGGCCCAGGGACGGCCCAGGAAGTGATGCCCCCCTGCTGCAGCCCGACCTGGTGAGACATATGGCTGGGTCGGCTGCCCAGGGAGCAGCCCGGGGACGGCACAGGAAGTGATGCCCCCCTGGTGCTGGGGAGACAGTTAGCCGACTCAGCGGCCCAGGGACGGCCCAGGGAGCGATGCCCCTGCCATCACACCAGCCAGGACTGCCGTCCAGCACGGGCAGACACGTGGTCGGCTCAGCAGCCCGGGGATAGCCCAGAGAGCGATGCCACCGCTGCCCCAGCTAGGACTGCTGCCCAGCTCATGGAGACGCATGGCCATCAGCTGCCTGGGGAACGGCCTGGGGATGGCCCAGGAAGTGATGTCCCCAGCCCAGCCCGGGGAGACATGTGGCTGGCTTGGCAACCTGGGGATCGCCCGGGAGGCGATGCTGCTGCTGCCGCCCCAGCAGGGACTGCTGCTCAGCCTGGCCTGCGGAGATGCGTGGCCAGCTCAGCTGCCCGGGGACAGCCGAGGAAGTGATGCCCTCCTGCCGCCGGGACTGCCGCCTGGCCAGGCCTGGGGAGATACATAGCTAGCTTAGCAGCCCGGAGATGGCCCAGGGAGCAATGTCCCCACCACCACCACCCCCAGCCGGGACTGCTGCTCAGCCCAGCCCGCGGAGATACGTGGCCGGCTCAGCTGCCCGGGGATGGCCCAGGAAGCGATGCCCTCCTGCCGCTGCCCCAGCCTGGACTGCCGCCTGGCCCGGCCTGGAAAGACGCATAGCCAGCCCGGGGATGGCCCAGGGAGTGATGCCGCCGCCCCAGCCGTGACTGCTGTCCGACCCGGGCAGACACGTGGCCGGCTCAGCAACCCGGGGCTGGCCCAGGAAGTGATGCCCCCGCCACCACCGCCGCCCCAGCCAGGACTGATGCCTGAGGGGGCAGCAGGAGAAAGAAGGGGGGAGAGGGAGGGGGAGGAGGAGGCTCCGGAGCCGCAGGAGATGGCACAAAGAGTTGCATGCAGCTCTGGAGCCGCAGATTGCTGACCCGTGGTCTAGATTCTACTTTTCTTTGGAGAAGCTTTGCTGGCTGAGGAATTCTGGGAGTTGAAGTCCACAGGTCTTAAAGTTGCCAAGGTTGAAAACCCCTGCTCTAGAACATAGAATGGTAAAGTTGGAAGGGACCTTGGAGGTCTTCTAGTCCAATCCCCTGCTCAAGCAAGAGACCCTATACCATTTCAGATAAATGGTTGTCCGGTCTCTTTTTGAAAGCCTCTGTTAATCCATATGATTTTATAGATAAACCATATGAGCTTGCTTCGATATATTACCTGTTTATATTTTCCTACCACTTCTGTTATTATTATTATCATCATCCTATCTCCATCCCATTACCAGAAAATCTTCAATTAAAGTGAAAGAGATGACTTAGCTTCACAAAGTTTTTTGAGCATAATAGTGGGAATACAAAGCACCTAAAACACATCTTCTAAAGCAGTGGTTCTCAACCTTTCTAATGCTGCGACCCCATAATACAGTTCCCCATGTTGTGGTGACCCCCAACCACTTATACATCACTGGGTGCCAGGGGCATGGCCAAAGAAAAGGGGGAAAAAATGGCGGACAGCCTTGTTTGGCGACCCCCGTGAAATGGTCGTTTGACCCCAAATGGGGTCCCGACCCACAGGTTGAGAACCACTGTTCTAAAGCCTTTGTAATGATATGAAGGAATAATATGGCACTTCAAATTTGCTTCTTTTTTCCTCTCTTTCAAAGGCAGTGGAGATGAGAACCCAGAAATACAACCTTAGCCAAATGGATGAAAATAAACAAAAGGGATGGGGAGAATCACTGAAAGCAGGTCAAAACACAAATCATCCCAAAACATTAGCATAGCAGGTTAACAGAACATAGTGTCAAAAATGTTCCAGAACATTTATCCAAATGTCCCATTAATTACATGGAATGTATGCCAGCAAAAAATCTACGATTTGGATGGCAGAAACTGTACTGTGTATGTTTATGCTACAAATGCTGGAGAGCCTTCTCAGACCTAGACACAGAAATGTTGTATGTTGCATACTAATCCCAGAAAAAAGTAGTGATAGTAATGGGAAAATGGATACAATCAGATAAAAATGATGTGCATTTAGACTACAAATAGTATTGGAAGACTGCCCTAAGATGGATTATATCACTTTCAAAATAAAGACCAAAAGCTTCAGCAGTAAAACAGTACTGAGAAATACCAGATGATATCAGTAAAATATTGATTCTTCAAGTAGAAACATTCAAGAAAAAACAAAGAAAAAATAATGAAAACAGCCCAATTTGAATCAAGCTAATACTGGTAGTTGGCAAGCAAATTTTACCTATTTATTTAATTTATATGCCACCCATTTCATCACCCAAATGATTCTTTAAATAAATAAATTTTTTACCATGCTTTGCCATCTATTCATAAGACCAGTCTTTTATAACCAGCAATAGTATTTAAATGAGGGGACTCTGATATGCTTTGCTTCAGAGTTCTCCAATTAGGAACCCTCCAGATATGTTAGAGCACTGCTTCTTGAACCAGTGGAGACAGTGAGTTGTGGGGACTGACTGTAATAGAGATTGTCTTCCAACTCATCAGGAAGGATCCTGTTTAGAAAAAGCTATTTTAATTTCATTTAAGTGTATGAAATACAAATGGCTTATAACTAAATTCAATTGGTTTCAATTAAATGAATCCAATACAACATATAAATAATATAAGTTATTATAGTGCCCTTTAGAAAAGTTAGATAACAATGTATCATGGCTGCAACAATGGATATGTTAACATTAATCATCTGAATTCTTAAGAAGAAAATATGAATTCTTCTGTTTTCTATTCAATAATAATATTGATCATTCCCTCTGTATATATGGTCGCCTCATGCTAAAAGTCTGATATATTTATTGAGCCATCAGATGAGTTAATAGGTCTTAAAACCTTAAACCTATTGCATATTTCAATCATCCACCATTTCATGTTTTTCAAATGTTGGGATGATTCCCACCATTTTTGAGTCTGTAAAAGGTTGTATCTAGAACATTTGAATGCTACTAGACTAATGGAGTTCAGATACTACAGCTTGCTTTCATTTTTAAAATCCCATTTTCAATCAATAAAATCCCATTTGTATATTCATATTTGTTAAACTGAGTGCTTACTGTTTTTGTTTTCACTGAGTTTAATATGACTAGGAAACTATGCTCATTTTATGTATCTATTTGGTACAATGTATTTAGGCCACAGCAGATGGCAGTGTCCAGCCAGTCTTGACTAATCATGAAAAACCAAGCAAGGTCAGACCTTGTTAATACTTGGATACTTGTAGTGACTAATAGGTCTATTATAACAAACTTGGAAGCTGAAAAAACATCCCAGAAGAAGGCAAAGGTAGACCATGTTTTTATTGTTCACAGGAAATCTCTAGGGACATGTCCATCAGGACTCCAGAGTCTTCAACTTCAAGGAGACACATATTTTAAACTATTTAAACTCTGAGCTTACAAATGGGCAAATGCCTTAAATGACTTAATTACTGATCATCCATTTTGCTTTATAATTCTTAAGAATTCAGGTGTTTTATATTAATATATCCATTGTTGGTATCTCAAAACAAGAAATAAAATATCTCCTTTACCCAAATTCTCTGCACACAAAAACAAAGACAAGTCTACATTTTTAACCTTTGCTCTGAGAATGATGCATTTTCTAGAGAAAGAAATCTTTCTCTGATGGAAGAAAGTTACCTGGATAATCATTTTGATCTATGTCTGAGTCTCCTCTCAAGGTAAATCCAAATCCTGCAGGCATAGATTGGGAAGCCCACAGGCCACTGAGAATCTGGGAAGGGTTAGGGTTTAACCCATTTCTGTCTCCATTGTAGATGAATACCCTCCCCCTTTGATCTTCTCCTGCGAATGGAGCGCCTATGGCGACATCTGCAAAAAACCAAAATAAAATTGCATTGTTAGAAAGGCCACTGAAACAGTTCTACCTGTCCCGGGGAATAGCATTTACTCTGAGATCCAAATAGCTCCCACCTTTTGTAAGGCCTGATTCTTTTTCTAGGCAATTGGTCAGGAATAATCTCTGACATAACCTGCATTATCTCATTTTTTAAAATTATTTTATTTTTATATTGTTATTTATAAAATGACAATATACTTATACAATAATTATAATTATAAAATAAATTATTTATTTTATATTATTGTTTTATATTGCTGTTGCTTTACTTTTACACTATCTACGTCACATGTCAAGTAAACAGCTACATAAATTGATTGACTAAATAAAGAAGTGCTTTGCCACCGTGGCAGGAAATGTTTCAGCTAGTGCTTTGCAGAAAAAGATACCACTTTTTTTTTTCTTCTACCAGTTTTTTTTTTTTCCATTTTGATGACACAGAATTTGTGGGTAGTTCCTGCACTAATTTAATTATTAAGTAGTCAAGAAGTATAGATGAATATCCTATCTGTCAGCATACAGTTCTCTCTTCAGTAGTCTGTAGGGTCTCTGGCTTCCCCTTCTTCATTTAAATTCCAAGGGAAGACACCATGAAAAAGGCCTCAGAATCAGGTAGAAAAATAATGTCTCTTTCACAGAGGAAGAAAACTTTTGACAGACTGCAAGGTAGTTTTTGGCACAATGTTAAATTCAGTTAGTTTTGCTTTCACAATCACTAATGTTTGGGGCAGTATTTGAAAAGGTGTGAATAGTTTTAAAAGGAGAAGGGGGTATGGATCCATTGCTAAGCTGGTTGACTGACATTATTTGACCCAGGCCCCGTTTCTTGTTGCTAGAATTGAGGTGCTCCCCCCCCCAGCTTCTTTAATAACAATTCAAGAGGGGTTTAAACACTTTTTTCTCAGGCTTTTTAAACATGGATATTTTTACACGTTTGGTTTTAATTATTATATTTATTCTACTGAATTTTAACTGAATTTGAGACATTATAAACTTCCTAACAACCTATGAGTTTTAGTCCTCTCTTAGGCATGAAATCCAGGTGGGCCAGTCACTCTGTCTCTCAGCCCAATTTAGCTCACAGGATTGCTGTTGTGGGGAAAACAGGAGGAGGAAGGACTATTAGACATGTTTACTGCCTTGAATTATTTATAAAAATAATAAGGGCAGATAAACAAATTAAAAAAAAAGAAATTGTTAACTGGAATCCACCAGAGTGAAAACTGTGACAATTCCATCATTCAATCCATTTATCCATTTTTGCTGTAGCACAACATCCTTCAGTAATTATGAAGGATGTACTTAGTATGTTTCCATCATTGTATCTTCATTTTGGACAAGAAAAGACCATATCAAGAGTTCAACTTTTGACAATTCCTGTCTGATAGAAATACACTTGTCTGAGTAAAAGAAACTTTGCTATTGAAATATTCATCCCCCTATGTTATTTATATGCATCTCTTTAAGATGACATAGTGACTTACCTCTATAACCATCCTGATTGAGATCTCCCAGGGGCGCAATAGAATTGCCAAATCGACCAAAAGCCTCGGTGCCAGACAGTATCTGTGCTTCCTTGAAGGACAAGACAGCCTCTTGCAGATATAGATACACTTGTCCAACCTCTTTGGGGTTGCTCTCAAATTCACGTTCCATGAAGAGAGGAGCACCAACTAAGATGTCGTCCTTACTAGAGGGGAAGAAAGAAGGATAAAGGTCAAGACTGACATCCAAATTGACTCAACTCAAAAAGTGTGCTTGTTTTGCAGGAGAAAGACAAGCTGGACAATATGACTAAAGCAGTGTCACCCTGTCACAATACAAGCCCTGACATTTTGTAAATGCATTGTGTATGAAAATGGTGGAGCTTCTGGCGCAGCAGCATTTTGATCCTTTTATTATGGTAAAATTAGGGCTAGATTTCTAACTATTGAGAAGTTATCCAGCCTTTTCCTTTTGTCTCTGAAAGTTCCTTACATGTAACATCTGGAAGGGACAAGGGTCACCTGTGAATTAAATGGCTCAGCAGTATCTACTTTGGGGGATAGAATACTGCTGAATCACTGATAGATGAAAGGTTTATCCATTCTTAGTTTCTTTCCCTTTTGGTTTCTGTATATCCTTGCATGAATGAATGAATTCAAAATCTTAGGCTGTCTGTTTCACTGCCTCTGATCTTTGCTATACTTTGTTTTTCCAATTCCTAATTCAGATAACAAAAACAATGATGTCAATTTCACCTCCATTTGTTCTCTTTTGTTTCCAGTCTGTCCTGAGTTGTTCTAACAATGCACAGGGAGCTGGGTGTTTTAAAACATCTGGTTAGAGTAGACATTTTTAAACTTGAGAAACATTTCTGTTTGTCTGCATTTATAAATAGCCTTGCTTCAGAGCCAAGGTCAGGCTCAAAAAGGCAAATGGGATGGGGAGTGAAGCAGCAGCCTTTTAAATGTAACAGAACATTACAATCCACAGTAATGTTTAATGCTATGCTACAAACTGTGTTTGCTACATACTGCTTTCAGTCAGGAACCTCAAAAAAATCAAAATGGCTGGCATAAATGGAATAACCATGTTTACTATCTTAATTTTTTTTCATTCCCAGAAGATGTCCCCATTTCCAATGAAGGAGGCAATAGACTTCAATGCAGTTGGTGAAACATGACCAAAAAAGTTTATTAGGGTACCAAGTCCTATTGTCTGCTTTCTATTGGCGCTCTTTTTGCCATGGTATGAAGAGAAGGTGGAACAAAAATGATGTTTGATTTGACCAAGCATCAATCTTTGGCTTTCATGTATCCGCATTTGTGCAGCATTTGTGTACCATAAATCAAGAAAATACTTGTACTCATGCACTGACCAGGAGAGGCTTAATTATTTTCTTTTAAGAAAATGACACTAAAATAGCATATGTCGGCCACCCACTGAAATTTTATGCACTTCTTTTGTGTTCTGTTGGGTAATTAGCAGCAGGAATTGTGGGCTAGCATCTGGGGTCACAAACCTAAGCACTTAAAGCTTTGATATAGTATGGGTTGTATATTTTTATTAGGCATTTGATTTCAGCTCACATAAATAAATAACATTTCTATGACTCTTGTGCATAAGCTACCATGCTTCTGACCACAGAAAAATGAGTACTATTTTTCACTAACTGTATTAGCAATGCAACCATGCCACTGTTATAACAAGAATATTATACATTCAACTTTTAATGTAAGGATTATATGTCCATGAGAATATATGCTTCAGTTTCAGATTTGGGGTCTTGGACATTTTTTTCTGAGAGACAATTTGGTGCAGTGGTTAAGATGTTGAGCTCACTCCTGCGACACTATGGTTCAAGTGGGAAATGATTGGTCCATTAGTGGGTGGAAGTGGCAAGAAGGTGACAAGCAACAGGGAGAAAGCAGAACTATTTAACTCATTTTTTGCATCTGTCTTTACACAAAGGGAAAAAACAGACCAACCTATCAAAAATAGTGCCATAAAAAACAAAACAGAAACACAAGTTAAGATAGGCAAGAAAATCGTTAGTGAGCACCTGTCCAGCCTAGATGAGTTCAAATCGCCAGGACCAGACGGATTACACCCCAGAGTTCTCAAGGAACTGGCAGATGTGATATCGGAGCCACTGAACTATATTTTTCAAAGATCCTGGAACACAGGGGAACTACCAGAGGACTGGAAAAGAGCTGATGTAGTTCCCATCCTCAAAAAAGGAAAAAAAAATGGATCCAGGAAATTACAGACCTATCAGCCTGACCTCAATACCTGGGAAGATCCTGGAAAAGATAATCAAACAACGAATCAACGAACACCTAGAGGCAAACAAAGTCATTACTAAAAGCCAACATGGGTTTGTCAAAAATAGATCATGCCAGACAAATCTTATTGCATTCTTTGACCAAGTGACAAAATTAGTGGATCAGAGGAATGCTGTGGACATAATTTACTTGGACTTCAGTAAGGCATTTGATAAAGTAGATCACAACCTACTACTTGACAAGATAGAAAAATGTGGGGTAGACAGAACCACCACCAGATGGATCCGTAGCTGGCTGACCGGCCGTACTCAGCGAGTGGTCCTCAATGGAACTGCATCTATATGGAGGGAAGTGTGTAGTGGGGTGCCCCAGGGCTCTGTTCTGGGCCCAGTACTCTTCAACATCTTCATCAATGACTTGGATGAAGGGATAGATGGGGAACTCATCAAATTTGCAGATGACACCAAGCTGGCAGGAATAGCCAACACTCCAGAAGACAGGCTTCAGATACAGAAGGATCTGGACAGACTTGAACACTGGGCACTAACTAACAAAATGAAATTCAATGGTGAAAAAAGCAAGGTTCTACATTTAGGCAAGAAAAACCAAATGCACAAGTACAGCATCGGTGGCACCATGCTCAATAGTAGTAACTGTGAGAGGGACCTCGGAGTCCTAGTAGACAATCACTTAAATATGAGCCAGCAGTGTGCGGCAGCTGCCAAAAAGGCCAACACAGTGCTAGGCTGCATTAACAGAGGGATAGAATCAAGATCACGTGAAGTATTAATACCACTCTCAATGCCTTGGTAAGGCCACACTTGGAATACTGCATCCAGTTTTGGTCACCACGATGTAAAAAAGATGTTGAGACTCTAGAAAGAGTACAGAGAAGAGCAACAAAGATGATTAGGGGACTGGAGGCTAAAACATATAAGGAACGGTTGCGAGAACTGGGTATGTCTAGTTTAACGAAGAGAAGGACAAGGGGGGACATGATAGCAGTATTCCAATATCTCAGGGGCTGCCATAAAGAAGAGGGAATTAAGCTATTTTCCAAAGCACCTGAAGGCAGGACAAGAAGCAACGGGTGGAAACTCATCAAGGAGAGAAGCAACCTAGAACTAAGGAGAAACTTCCTGACAGTGAGAACAATTAATCAGTGGAACAGCTTGCTTCCAGAAGCAGTAAATGCTCCAACACTGGAAGTTTTTAAGAAGAGACTGGACAGCCATTTGTCCGAAATGGTGTAGGGTTTCCTGCCCGAGCAGGGGGTTGGACTAGATGACCTCCAAGGTCCCTTCCAACTTTACTACTATTACTATTACTAAGTCCCTGCTCAGTCATGGATATTCACTGGCTGGGCCACTCATTCCATCTCAGCCCAATCTCTCTCACGGGATTTTTATGGTGGGGGAAAATGGGAGGAAGAATGCTATGCACATTGCCTTCAACTCCTGAACAAAAGATGCAATATAAATATAACAGGTACATTTACAGGAAAGAAAGTTGTACATTACTAATCTACAGTAGTGATTTAAGTATCATATTAGAACAGGGTGTGAGTGAGGCAATTTTCAGCCTATGGATCATATGCTTTCTCTTAGCCCCCTTCTAAGCCTATCAGCTCTTTGAGGTAATTCAGACAAAAAGCACCAACAATGAGTACCAACACTACTTTCCTTGTAAGGTTACAATAACAGAATTGTGTAAGCATGAACATACCTCTCCCTTCCCTTACTTTTGCTCTTCCCAAAATCAGAGAGGATCCCTTCTGAGACATTTTCTCTACTCCTACCCCTCCTTAAGATTCAGATTTTGTTTATCAGGCCATTGTCTAGACTGCAGCTCTTCCTTTTGCTTCTCAAGGTCATTCTTCCATACCATTATAGTGTCCCCTGAATATCCTCAAAGTTGATTAAATATTTCTTTACAGTATTTTGGCATTGTGATTCAATAACTCATATTGACACAAACTATGACTTAGTGCGCTGTGGGAGCCTAGCCAAATGTTTCTGACTAACAACAGCACCTATCAGAATTATGGGAGTTATAATCTAAAACATCTGGAGGGTACAAGATTGTTTCCCTCTAATGCATACAATGTAGCCAAAATTTCTAGGATTTTGAGAAATAAAATCCCATCTGGGCCCATTTTCAGTTTTGAACAGCAGGTAGGGTAGTGATAAAAAATATATCCTCCATATCCCAACATTTCTCAAAGTATAAGGAAGCAGATCTTTTATCTTTCTCTTCTATCCATTCCCGCCTCCAGTTATGGAAAAATCTTCTCCCAGTCCAGATGTTTCTTAAAAATTACTTGTTTTTGAAAGCTTGTCCAAGTCTGAGGAAAGTGGGAATCAACTGATCGAATTGGGAATTAGTTATAACAATAGAAACAAGTAAAAAAATACAAAACTTTTGAAAAATAATGTGATCTGCAATGTCTGTGATGAGGAAAATTAAGTTTCTTATTTTATTGGGGATGCAATAGTTTTCATCGTAGCATTTTATAATTCAGTGTTTATTCTTGTATTTTTAAAAGTTTTAAATCTTATGTCCTAAAATATAAAAATTGAAATAAATCATTGCAACTGTCACCTCAGAAATCAATATACATTCCATAATTGTATTCTTGCTTCAGTTATAGTCAGCAATGCAACTGTAATATAGGTCCTATTAAAATCAAAATAGTCTAACAATTCCCTTTGCACATTAAAACAAACAATTTTAAGGTGCTAAATTAATACATTTTTGGAAAATGCATAAAATAATGCATTCAGCTTACTAACACACTAAACTAAAATTCTGAAATAAATGAAAAGGAAAATGTTTCAAATAGAATAAATTGAAAAGGAAAAATGCAGGTGTTTGTCCTGACGCTTGGCTATAGTTCATATTACCGTTCCAAACTTCAGAGGGCCCAGGACTATTTTACAAAATTTACAAATGTGTGGGCAAAGCAAAACCAAAAGGTACCTCTATTTTCATTTTAAATTCAATTTTATTTCATTTGATTCAATTAAATATAATGTATATGATTATAATGTACTCAGATGAAGCTGAAAAACTATAAAGACCTGGCTGTTCCTCCAAGTGTTAAGCCAGGGTAAGACTGGACCATAGCAAATATACGGGGAGTACTTTTAGGGGGTAATTTTTGTATTTATTATTTAGTATTAACAAGTTTCCATTTTTTATTGTTGCTGCTATAAGCCATCTAAGTTTGTTTTATTTAAGATGGGCAGTCATCTTTTTTTAAATAAAAATGTTTATTTTTCAAAAAATTAATAATGATGCAATTTTCATATGAAAAAATACAATTTGGAAAAAAATTATAAAGTACTTGGGAACCACATCAAGACTTTAAGGAGAATGATACATAGATTGTGGCCCTTGTTGTTTACAATGTAGGATTAGTTTATTGCAATCTATTCTTGTAGAATAAAAGCAATGGAATTGTTACATAAGGAAAAGAAAGTGTCTATTTTTATTTTAGTCCACAAACTGGGACAACAGAACACCTAAAAATAAAATATATTAAAGAAAAATAATTATTTCCTTTTGGTTTCTCAGACAATTGGTTTCATCATTATAGTACGTAGATTAATAAATTTTGCCACTATTCATGAAGATATTAATATTGATTAATGTTAGGAACTTTTGTAAAGGAGATTAAAATGAAAGGAGTTGTACTAGAATTGATCCTATATAAATAAATTACAAACATTTTTCAAAATAATTAGTTTCGGTTGGCCCGGAATATTCCCCTGGACTAAGCAAACAATTTAAGACTCCATAGGATTGTTGTGAAAAAAAAAGGGGAGGTGGGAATGTCTTGAGTTTCTGAAAAATAGACAGTAGAAATCCAGTCAATCAGCCAGCCAATCAAGCATGTTTAAAATCCATCCAGAAAACCTAAACAGAGTACAATCACAAAATAATTTACTAACAGCTTACCCATCATTGTTAATGTCTGACACAGCAATTGTATATCCAAAGTAAGATGCCATCTGTTAAAAATTAATGTCATTTTTAATCAGTTTTCAGCAAATTTTCATTCCATACCATCAAAACAATGATTTTGTTCTTGACTGTATATTGCATACTATTACACACAAAAAAAAGTGTATTCATGAAGTTACCAGTTAGCTATGTATGAAGTTATCTCTCTGTTTTATACTGTAAATTTTAATTGCTGTAATCCATATCTTGAAATACAGAATAATTTATAGAATTATCAAAAATTATTACCTGCTCACCAGTGAAATTCTGAATAAAGGTCAGATCTGTGGAATTTATGATTGTGACCTGGAAATAAAAATGCTGTCAGGTGTTCCATAAAGAGTTATATTTCACAATCTAGAATAGAATACATTAAGAATGGAATGGAATAGAATAACAGAGTTGGAAGGAACCTTGGAGGTCATCTAGTCCAACCTCCTGCTCAGGCAGAAACCCTAAACCATTTTAAACAAATGGCTGTTCAATTTCTTCTTTAAAACTTCCAGTGTTGGAGCATTCACAACTTCTGGAGGCAAATTGTTCCACCAATTAATTATTAATTGTTCTAACTGTCAGGAAATTGCTCATAGTTCTAGGTTGCTCCTCTCCTTGATTAGTTCCCTCCATGGCTTTTTGTCTTGCCTTCAGGTGCTTTGGAGAATAGGTTGACTCCCTCTTCTTTGTGGCAAGTATCTATCATTTTCCTTAAAGCTTTGATGTGGTTTCCCAAATATTTCATAATTTCTTCCAAACTGTAATTTTTCATATGAAAATAATTACAGGGATCTATTTTTAAAAAATTTCCTCCCACAAACCTTGGTATACATAAAATAATAAAGGAAAAAATGGCATTGACATAGGAAGCCATTAAAAGAATGTGGGTGATTGCAGGACTTAAATCAGTATCTTTGTTAGGTCTAAGACCACGTTCTCAAATTAAGTCATGATGGACTATCCAATTCATCTGTTTTGAGAACTATGGTCCTAAGAATAACAAAGTCCTTATTCTCAGCATTTCTTTCAAATTTTTTAAATAAAAAAAATACCCACTTTTGGCTTTCATGGAAAACCATCCAGGTCCATTTATAGGTAGTTCTCGTTTAGCAATCCTAATTGGGACTGGCAAACTCAGTTGTTAAGTGGTGTGATCTTTAAGTGAAACCATAACTGTCCTTATGATTTTACTTCAGTTTTCCTCTACTGTACAGACTTGTAAAGGTCACAAATGCAAGGATTAGTGATAAGTTACTTTTTCATCACTGTCATAACAGTGAATGGTTGTTAAACAAGGCAGTCATTAAACAAGGACTACCTGTATGGGTAAAGGAGGAAACAAAAAAAAGCAAGATGGTGGCTAAATCTTATAATGAAAGCTCTGACCTTTTAAAACATATTTTGCATGTTTGATGCGTAGAAAAAAGGAATGGAGCTGATCATACAGTCCCAGCTTCCATTTTAACTTTTTGCAGTCCTACTCCAATGCTTTAGAATTACCTGAGAAAACTGTAAAGGCAAAAGTTTCCATGTCTAGTTCTGTCCAACTCTAGGGGACAGTGCTCATCTTTGTTTCTTAACTGAGGGAGACAGGGTTGTCTGAAGACATTTCTGTAGTCATATGACCATATGACTATATGCTGAGATGCACAGAACTGTGTTACCTTCCCATTGAAGTGGTACTTATTTATCTATTCACATTTGCATGCTTTCAAACTGTTAGGAGGCAGAAGCTGGGATACATAATGGGAGCTCATCCTGATGCATAGTGCTCACCTCTTGAACTCGGGCTGTCAGCTTTTCAGCTGACAAGCTCAGCGTCTTTAACCATAGTGCCCCCTACAAGGAAAACTGTACCATTCTAGAAAAAAAGTCCTGTTATCTGAGTTCATAGCATGCTAAATAGCAAAGCCAGACTCCTTTCTTTTTCTAAGCTCTAATATTAGAACTTAACATGATAACTGGCTCACACAATTTGCTAAAATAATGATTGAGCTCTTGCAACAAGCTAAAATCCCAAGTACTCAACCCCATTTTATCCTCTCTAACATGTTTATAAATAAGGCTATTGTGTTATATAAATCCCTAACTATATAGCTATAGGAGTAAATTGGATTATAATCTGCTGCACTCTTTGTAATATCGGCAGCACAATTTAATTTCCCACTCTTCTGTTATAAAAGATAAAAAATTCTAAATCTTGACTGAAATCTTCTGTATTGAGAGGTTAAGGAAGGAACAGAATAACTATTTTACAAGTATTGATTTCTGTATTTCACAGACTTTATTTAACACTAACTGCTAAGGAAAAGGGATGAGAGAAAAGAAATAAAATGCTTGGTGGACTACATACATAGCCAAAGTTCTTTGCACCTCTTGGAACTCCAGCTACCAGCTCTGAAAGAAATGAACAGGCTGAAAGTTAACTTTGTATAATATCTTCTCACATAGTCATTACCCAGGAACTGCTGGCTATTCATTTTAATAATTTAAGGGGATGTAAGTAACATCTGGAGAGAGATATAATTATCATTAAGTATAGTATTACTATTCATATGGGCGTGACATGTTTGACAAAAACATTTTTAAAATCCAACTGCAAGAAATTCTAGGAACAATGTGCAAAATAGTAAGTTTACAAGAGCACAAGTGATATAGATATGTTCACACATACATTTGCAAATTTTCAGTTCAAATAATCTGTTATTTGATGGAGGATGTCCTTACTTGCTGATGAGCCTTATTGATGGTCAAACCAATAAGATATAAAAGGCATTCCTGCTTTTATTTATTCTACATGAGGGGCACATTATCCCACTCTGGCCTTAGCATAGCTCATATGAAGGGGAGGAGTTTCTTTTTTTTCTAACAAAAAAAATTATGGATGCTATTGTATGATTATTTGGAAGTAACAATGCTACGTGGAAGGACAAAACTATCTACTCTCTGTGGTCTCTATCTGAATCTCCATCCATTTAAAAGTGATACAGAGCAAATGTTTAACTTAGTTCTTAGTTCTCCCAACAATCAGTTGGGAGAAAATATGAAGTTTGAGGCCAAACCATATCACTGAGATTTTAACAATATCCAAAAGAAAAACTAAACCCTTTCTAACACTCAATCTGCTATCTACCTGAAAAGAAAAGAGATTTACATCTATGTTGCTGAAGCCCAGATGTTCCTATTTGGCAACTACAACTACTATCATCCCTGTGCTAAGAATAATGGGAACGGTAATCCAACACATCTGGAATCTATTAGATTGGTTAAGGTTATTCTACATTGATGACTTTCAGAGTTTGATCTGGAAATCTACAAAATATAGTTCAGGACAGGAATGACAAAATGATTGGTAACTTCATTATACATCTGGAAGTTCCAATTTTTTTTAAATAGAATCTTTTTCAATGGAAAATTCCGTAAGGACTCATATGAACAATATATTTATAGATTATAAATGAGACACAGGAATTAACATGGAATGTTAAACTGAATTTATCTTCCGATTGATTTTACTGGCATAAATGCCAGCTAATATCTCTGTAAAACAACATCGTTTTTGGTCTATGCAAGACCTTACGTAAATAAGTGGCTCACAAGTAATTATGCAGTCTTACAATTTAAAATTAATACATTTCTTATTTTGAGAAGGAAAAATGTAAGGCTGTATTCTAGCTTGATCACTGAACCACTTTTGAGATAACAACTGTTTGTTAAGAGCTGCACAATACGCCTACGATCATACTGCAAGTAAGTAAATTGTAACCAGATCTGTCAGTAGCTTCTTACCTTCATGAAGATCTCCAGTAAATTCACCAGCAGCCACTGAGTAACCTGTTTAAGAACAAACCTACAAAGATGAAATCTGACAATCTATTTCTAAAGAGATAGGGATACTCAGATCTATTCTCTTATTTTATCTCTGCAAGAAAGACATTATAAATTAAAATATATAAGGCTAGTGAATGGTAAATATCTCAGACGCACAATACATCCACAGCAGTCTTTCTTACCCTTGGTAAATTTAAGATGTGTGAACTTCAACTCCCACAGTCACCCAGCTCAGCATACTGGCTGGGAAATTCTGAGAGTTGAAATCCACACATCTTAAAACTTGCCAAGGTTGAGAAACACTGATCTACAGAATGAGATGTATTTTTCTATAACTAAGAAAAAAATTGAATGTAAGATCACAACATAAGAGATGAATGTATTAATATTTCATCATTCACTTAAATATAATGTATCATTGTCATCATGGGATGTTCAGTTCCACTACATGACATTCGTGTACACTCCCTTCCAAAGAAAATTTCTTAAAGCACAAATGAGCCCAATGCAGTGTTGTGTGTCTGACATAAGATCTGAAAATACTCCTTTACCTATGTTTCTATTAAATAATCAGAAACTCATTATTTCTTTAGCTACCTTGTTGCAATCTGCAACCTTTTCATCATTTTGGGAAGCAGATTCCTTGTCTACCTCACAACCTGTGCCTCTTTTTCAAACTGTGCATTCAAATGATTCCTACATACACACATTCCCACCTAACTGATTTTGTTAAACCAATCTCCAATCAAGATAAAATTAAGGCATATAATACAGTTTGGGGCTGACCCTAAGATGGCATGACTGACTGGAAGTGTTAACACACTATGGAAAATAAACCCTGAACTAATAATAGTCAAATAAATAACATTCTGAGCAATACTTTTATTCCTTATGGGTTTTTTCATATTTTATCTTTTTTATAATATTCTTGTCATGTATTATCTTTATGCTTGTTTCATATTTTATTTTTTATACCAGTACATATTCATATAAAAATATATATTTTTACCTGCCATACTGTATGCATGAGTATAATCAGGGCAATGCTACTTACTGAGTTTCTCCTATCCTTCTATAATATTCTGTTTTAAAATGATTTTCAGTTATTACTTCACTAACAGCTCTGTTATTTTCCAAAACTGTTTTTAATGAATGATAATTTAATGCATTTTATGACTTCTATGACTTCACTATCTGTCATCTGTGTCCACAGTATGCTTGACATTTAAATTAATATTTCATACATCTGAGGAAGTGAATTCTGGCCCATGATAACTGATATTATAATATATGTGTTAATTTTTAAAAATACCCCAAGGTTCTCTTGATTTTCTTCAACAAACTAGCATAAGAAGCCATTCACATGGCTTGCATGGAAGATTCAGGCAGCAAACTGAAGATGTAACAAAGTGGAGTTCAAATTAGACCTTATGGTAGACAAATGAACTGCAAGAGCTATTTTCTCAGTCTTCTGTTACAGGTATTACAATCAATTTTTTCATGAATTAATCCACTGCAGATTATAATGATTGTGATCTTTTAAATTATATATTCAGATAGTTGTCACTTACTACCTGCCTCATTTATCAATCACCCAAAGTTCTGATAATATTAAAAATAACTTTGCAACCAGTCCCCACATTTGTTACTGTCATAATGTCTGATACTCATGTGATCACCATTCATCCATTGCAATTTCACATATTAATGACTGTCGCATCATGACATGTTACTTGTGTGCTTGCAACTAGTTTGGACAAGCAGACTTACTAGGGAAGGGGGAAATTAAATTGTATGTCTTGGTCATATGATGTTTTCTTTATCAATTACGGTGCTTGCTTAACAATCAAACAGGAAGGAAGGTTGTAAATCCATTGTCATTTGATTTTCCATTTAGTGAGGAGTTGCTGGTCCCAATTTGGTTGCTAAGTGAAGAACACTAATACAAAAATATTCTGACAAAGTGTTTGAATATAACAATTTTCCATATATAAATTTATGGAACTGACCGTTTATTGTTGGACAAAGAACAAGCAACAGTTCATGTTTTACAGGCATATATTCATATCAAATGTTGAGCTGATAATGCAATATTTTGATTTATATTCATAACAATGGACACACTGTATGTATAGGTGTGTTCTGAGCCTCTCATGCTTAATCAGAGCAAATATTTTCTTATATCAGATTTTTAAACAAGATCAGTGCCAGCAAAATCACCATATAACTTACCCAAATAATTATCATCATATATAGATGGGGCCACTCCAGTTTGCTTTTCCTGTAATAGGTTCTTTAGAATATTCTTGAAGGAATAATCTGTGATAACATCTGCAATGTTGCTGGTGATAACCTGACCTGAGATTCAAAAATATAATAAATTGTCCTGCAGGGCAACTAGAGAAATACAGGCAGCAATTATGTATTAGATTATAATTCTGCCTTTATTATTTTATACGTAACTCAAAATGGGAATCATACATAATTCTCCTCCTGCTATTTCCCCCCAATAGATCAGTGAGATAGTTTGGATTGAGAGAGAATGATTTACCTAAAATCACCCAAACCAGCATTCATTTTTTAAATTATTTATTTATTATTAAATTTTTAGATTACCCATCTTTCCTATAAGGTAATTCTGGGCAACCTAAAAAACAATAATTCATAATTAATATTAATTGATAGGAACTGTAAGGAAATGAAAAACAATTGTTGATTGCTTCGTAGTCTATAAGAAAGTAAAAATGAGAAGAATAATGGGAGCAATGGTAAATATAGCATGAACAATGCAGTAAGTTTTTCTATATAGATGCCTAAATTTATCCTGCATTTTCAGCTGCTCCTGGATCTTTCTTCAGGACCTGCTGAAAATACCCATCTTGAAACTGACACAATAGCAACAGCAATAGCACTTAGACTTATATACTGCTTCACAAGGCTTTACAGCATATTGTCCTCATTTTACCAACCTCGGAAAAATGGAGGGCTGAGTCAACCTTGAGCCAGTAACAACTGAACTGCCGAACTGCTGGCAGCTAGCAGTCAGCAGAACTAGCCTGCAGTACTGCATTCTAACCCCTGCATCACCACTGCTCTCAATGTACTAATACCATACCACAAAAACTATTCTAGATTAAGATACATTGGTATTTTATTTTTTTAAATGATGCTATTCCAAAACATATCCAGGCTACATTTTTCAATTACCTCTACAAAACCAACATTGCAGTGATTGTGTAAAGTTAGATTAACCAGAGGACAATGACTTTGTAGAGGATTCTGACGGTCAAAGACCAGATAAACTACTTCCCCTTTCTGCTTCTCTTTCCCAGTTCTTCCTCCCACACCTGCAAAAATCAGAGCTCTGACTTCTGCACTTTGAAAAGACCACCTCAACTTATTGTGTAACTCTTAAAAGAGATTTAATATAAATAATTTACAAAGAATAACTGTAGCTTTCCCTGTCCCACAAAAAACCCTAATAATAATAAATATCCTGCTTTGTTTTCTTAATATTTGTCTGCCTATTGTTTCTTCTTTTGTAAAATGTAAAATAGAATAAAATAGAATAACAGAGTTAGAAAGGGCCTTGGAGGTCTTCTAGTCTAACCCCCTGCTCAGGCAGGAAGCCCTATACCATTTCAGACAAATGATTGTCCAATCTCTTCTTTAAAACTTCCAGTGTTGGAGCAATTGCAACTTTTGAGACAAGTTGTTCTACTGATTAACTGTTCTAACTGTCAATTAAATATTCTAACTGTCTGGCCTCTAAAGGCGGTTGTCTTGCTTGCTTTTGCCTTTTTGCCTCTTAATACAATAAATAAATAAATAAAATGTGGTAAATGTTCATGTATGTCTTTTATCCATCACAACCTTTTATCCATCACAACCCCAACAGATGTTGTAAAATAAAAGGATTAAAGAAGGATGAAACATATTGAATTGGGGGTAATAAAAACTGCAGGTAGAAAGTGTACTAACTCCTGCCCTAAAAGGCATACATTATCTTAATATAACTTGTATCTCAAAATATATGAAAAGGTACATAGGAGCAAAAAATAATACATCTGTTTGTAAATCTAAAGAATATATGGACATGTAAATAATATCAATAGTCTTGGCATAGCTAGGCAGGGCTGGTATAATTCTAGTCTGAAGTCCTGGAAGACAACTCATATCAGCATCAATTGTTTTAAGGATAGTTGGACCAAAAAGTTTGATTTAGGACAATTTCTATTTCTTAACTTCACCAACTGTTAGCATATGGGAATAGAACTGTAAATACTGAGAATAAATAAAAGAAAGAAGCTGAAGCGATAATTACCTATTCAGAGTGGTCATTCACAAAACACTTGGTGTGAAAGAGATATTTCTGCAATGGATAGCAGACAGACCTATGCAGTACAATAATAACTCTTTTGTCTGATTTAATATATGGCTAATAGAATGTAACAGATACATATGTTGTTTATCTTGTCTACAACACAGCAGAAGAAAGTACAAATTTGTTCGTGCCTTTTACTCTTACAGAATAGAATGTAAAATATTCCAAGATTTCATAATTCAAAGTTTTATTTATTTATTTATTTATTTATGAGACTTATATACCGCTTTAAGTGCAAGCACTCTCTAAGCGGTGTACACCAGTAAGCAATGTATATATATATATATTTACATTGCCCCCCACAATCTGGGTCCTCATTTTACCTACCCCGGAAGGATGGAAGGCTGAGTCAATCTTGAGCCGGTGAGATTTGAACCGCTGACCTGCTGAACACAGTCAGCTAAAGTGGCCTGCAGTACTGCACTCTAACTGCTGTGCCACCTCGGCTCGGTTCTGAAGGCAATCCAAATCTCGTCAATTTACAGAGATATAAAAGAATGGACCAAAATATGGAGTCCTTTGAGATTGACTCAGATGTAAGTCATGTGTTGTGAGATAGGAATTATTCTACAGAAGCTATGGTAGATATTGCATCACGGGTTCTGCTGATACTTCACTTCCATTTTCAAATTTTTGCTAGTGAAAAAGATGAACATACCTTGCCAGTAAAAACTGCCAGGCCCTCCTAATATGAATTCTCCATTCTGTACACAAGACAGACAATAGCAGCAAAAACTCAAAATTAATAATTTACACCAGAGACCAAAATTAAATACATAAGAATCATCCAAACAACTAATATTATTAATATCACAATTATAATCAGGGACAAAATATAAGAAATTTCCCACTGCCTGGCTGTTACTGAATAATATAACCAAACCTCATGCTGTCCATACTTGCTGGAAAATGAAATCCCTGGATGGCCTTTGCTAACTGGAAATCCTGACAGATGTAATTAATTGTAACTGCACAATTCTAGATATCTGTGCTATGGCATATACATTATTGCAATTAGAGCCACTGTTAAAAAGGGTATTTTTGATATTTCTTTGGGAATGATAGAAAGATATTGAATAGAACTGAAATGAATGCAGTAAACTTTAGTGTCCAAGAAAACATGCATTAAGTTATAAATATTGCAACAATATTGAAAAATGATAAGGTTGCAGGTATAGATGGCATAATTTAAGAAATGCTTAAATATATGACAGGCTTTTGAAATGCTTAAATATATGACAGGCTTTTGAAATAGCTTTGCAAAATTGCTTCATATGTGTATGCAGACTGGTTCTAAACTTGACAATGGGAAGAATATCAGTATTGTTCAATACAAAGGACAAAGAAGGATGCAAAAATTACAGGAGGGATGTGGGTTTTTTTCATTTGAACCTGGAAAAGTGTTTCTCTCTCTCCCTCCCTCCCTCCCTCTCTACCTCTCTCATATTTTGCTCCCTTTCTGTGACTTATGTAAGTTTATTTACCCTGAAAGTGAACAGTTTGATGGATATAGATATGTGAAATATTCTTAAATTGTTTTTTATTCATATTAGAACAGATAGCCCATGGATATAAAGGGAAGCTTAGAAACTGAAATAATTGCAACAAAAGGAACAGCAACAATTGCAACAATTGAATTGCTGCAATGCACTCTACATAGGGCTGCCCTTAAAGAAAATCTGGAAGCGTTGGAACAAAATATGCTGAGTTGAGCGGTTATGGATGCCAATCATTTAGGCATTATGTGACACTTCTACTCTGCGAGTTGCATTGGCTACCAATATATTTCTGAGTGCAATTCATGGTGTTGCTGGTTCCTTTAAAGCTGCTTAAAGGCACTGAGTCATTTCTCCCCAGTAGTGTCTACTTGTCCTGTTAGATCTGATAGGAGAGGCATACTCCAAATCTTTCCAGTAAAGTTCAATCTGGGGGATCCAAGAACTTTTTATACTATGGCTCACACCTTTTGAAATATCATTCCTCCGAGATTAGATATGCCCTGACTTTGCTGACATTTATAAATAAATAAACAAACAAACTTAAAAACTTGGCTTTGCTATCTAGCCTAGGGCTCTGGCAGTGACAATGAGTCTATTTCATTGTTTATTTGAATGCAGAATGTTATGTTTAATAGCAGCATCTATCTAACACACAAGGGTAATAAAATATCTCCATCATGTCATCACAGCTTCATCTAGGCCTGCCTCTGCCAACCAATATTAGCTTGTAAGGACATGAAGTGGGCTTCAATTTTTGCTCAGATTTGTAGCTAGAAATTATAGTTATTGTATATGTTTTTGTTTGAATAAGGACAATAAACATTTGGCCCCTGACTAAAACTTCATCTAATATAACTGTTCTTGTCAACAAAAACTGCCTGTTTTTATTAGGACTGTTAATCAAATACAGAATTTGTAACTGATTAATTTCTTCCTTGAAGAAAGCATATTCTCCCTTTGGTGCAAAAAGAAAACTGTACATTTTCCATTTGGATGCCTGCCTAGGATTAGTATAAGAACTGGGGGAAAAGCCAGTTTTTAAGAGTCTTTGAACGAAACTTGAGTTTTTAGGAGTCTTGAGATTTTTGAGACTCAATACAATGTAGTTGTGTGTGTGGTTGTCTTTGCTACACAAATATTTTTGAGATGAAAAATGATGAATTGCAGAAGAAGGTAAATATGAAAGTGAATGTAAAAATGATTAGAAAATCCAGCAACCAGCCAACCACTGTGGATGCTCACCTTATAAAACTCTAAGCTGAATCCTGCTTGACAGTAACCTTGCCCCTCAGGATCTGGGTTGTCTGAAAGTATCAAAGAATGACACTGAGTTAGTTTTACATTATAATTTGACTCAAATATTAACATAACTATTAAGGGAGGAGTTAACAAGCTTCAAATGAAATCTCTTTTTGTGCTAAAAGTTAGGTAACAATTGTTAGATGAATTTTAGATTCAATGTACAGTAAAATAAGAATAATGACAATGATAATGATAATATATGATAATCCAAAGTCAAAATAAAAACCAGCATGTGAGTTTTGGCAAGGAAACCTAAATCTAAGCAATAAGTTTATGTTTGGAAGATCCAAAGATGAAAATGAAATCCTTGGTTTGGTTTATTTCTACATCAGTCTGAGTTGGAGAAAGGACTTTGGATTGTACACATTTTGGCTGTAGTCCATCATAGCCAGAGAATCTGCAGAGGGGCCAGAATAGTCAAGATGGCAGCTACAATCACATGATCAAAGTACCACTTTTTTTGCATATAACATGCATATAAAATAGAGACAGCTGCTGTTTTGAACCTCTTTGGCCTATGGTACATTCTTATGCAAACAACTGCTTTTCATATATGACAAACATCTTCATGGGTGCACTGAAGAATGACAATTAGAAAACCTGCAGTAATTGTGCAATTCTTTGTAAATCTAGCGTTGTCCCATTCCATAATTTATAACTCCCTTGTTCACAAACATAATTATCTTTATTCAAGGTCAAGGAGTTAACTGTTAATTCTACAAAAAGAGATAGAGAGAAGGATGGCTATATCTATAGAAATCAGCTGCTTTAAAAATTTGGTTTCTGCTTATCAAGGTCTGTTGGCCATATTGATCATTTTTTTTAATTAAGCCAGAGTTGACTTATCATCACTGTAGCACCAGCCTCATAGTCAAAGAACTTACTGTTGCGACAAGGAGAATATTCTGCATAGGTAGTAAAATTCTGAATAGCAACATAGCAGGTGCCCACTGGATCTTTTTCAGGAGCAGCCTTCAGAGTCCTCCAGTGATATAAGGGAGCACAAGCCTATCAAAATATGAGATGCAATAAAAATATTTAGATGTTTGGATTAGGTTTATAGTACAGTAATTTGTATAGTTATAAATTAATAATTTGTATAGTAATTGTGTAAAAGATACAGATGTATTCTTTAGAAAACCAGGTTATTGCTTTCTGAAGTATATTGACACTGCTAGATTGATTGGACTCTCAGCAAGATGCATATTTCCACATCGACTGCTCTTTTTCTTGCTCTGTCCTGTCCTTCATTCGTGTTTAGGAACAACAACCTTCAGGTTCCAGTTAACTGAGAGGATCTCTCTTAAATTCTCATTTGTTAGTTGTAGTAGTTTAAATAGTTATAATTTTAATGGAGCAGAGTTGAAAAAAGGTCCCCCTGAACCACCAAATAGTTGTTCTAATCTATATGCATTCACTACTAGATTTATATCCCATCTTTAACCTGGAGTTCAAGAGCTATACACAACTTGCCTTTCTGGAACTTTCCCTATGGACTAGAACTGAGCTACAAAATGCTAATAGAGGTAGTCCTTATGACTGTTACTTAATGAACATTCAAAGTTATGGGAGACCACCACAGAGGTACTTATAATCCATTTTCACAGTTATGAAAGCCACACAGGTCTCCTGTGGTCACATGATTACATTTTGGGTACTTGGCAACCAGTTCATCTTTAGTATTGATTACAAAATCCTGTGATCACATGACCACAGTTTGTGAAGTTTTGTATTGGTTTCTTGTATTTATTTCTGGTTTCCAGCAAAAAATACCCCCAAAAGAAAATGGATTCACTTAATGACTGTGGTGTTCACAATTGCGTTGCTTACTTCACAATTGCAATATTTACTAAATGGCTGCCCTAAACAATGCCATTACTTTGAATCCTGAACTTCAATTTATGACCTTAATTTCAGGCTGAATTGTGATTGTTGAGTACTACCTATAGTACTGTTGTAAAATGTTACACTGTCCCCATCCTAGGTCATATGATCACATTTCAGGGGCTTGGTCATATTTATAATTGGTTGAAGTGTCCCATAGTCATATGACTACAATTTGTGACATTTTTTGCCAGTTTCTAGTAAAAATACTCATTCAAGAGAAAAATTTGCACTTATGACCATGTGATTCACCTAATTACTGCCATCAAAATGTATATCTGGCTGTCTTGTATAGAAAATATAGTGAGCTTTCCTAATTGTCTGTCTTTCTGCCTAATAGAGTGGTAATGGAATATTGAAAGAAATACTGAAATAAAAGATAATGGAATATTCTTTTATGCTCGAAAAATCTAATAAACATTACAGATCTCTGATCAAGAGAGTTTACAAATAGCTATCTATTTGTATGCAGTAAACTAGGGGTTATAATTACCAGCAAATTTCTTCAGCATTCCCACTGCCTTTTTTTTTAGGTTTACTTTTTCAATGAAGGGTTTTTTTAAAAAAGAAGATAGTGCATTACAGCTGGGTATATTGTCCAGCTAGGATTGCAATCTTAAGGAATATCCTTAAACTGTTACATATGTTGGCAAGAAACCAAATTAACTACAGGGCTTATTTCTTGGGTGTGACTGTGGATATTTCTGTTGGATACATGACATCCTCTCTTGAGATGAAAACAATAGAGAAGAAAGCTGGCTGCCTCTTTGGACTGTCACTTATGGACTGGGCACCCTTGCAATTCTTCTTAAAGAGATGGCTCTTATTTTGGAAATGACTGGATTTTGACCCTTTCTTTGGATATTTGATATATCATAGTTTTATCTTATTTTACCATTTATTTTAAGATAGTTTGAGAATATTACACTGCAACTGATATAATTTTTCAAAAGGGAGCAAATGAATACTTTTGCTTATTACAGTTAAAGACAAAGGAAGTTAAATACAGACGAAAAGATATTTAGGATATGTTCTGCTAGTATAATGGTATACAAAAGATATATTACAAAGGTATCATAAGTATTCCGTTCTCATTCAGATCAGAAATTCGTACTACTCAGAAAAACAAGGCACATGTAATAATAATATTTTATTATAAGTAGTTCCTCAACAAGCTCTACAATTCTGCAAGTGATATACAACTAAGGGTAAAGATGTAAACTTTATCTTATCCTTTGGAAGAAAATGCCCTTTATTTATCAGCTGGCAAAAATTATTTTGTGATATTTTATGTATCCTTTGCTTTTGATACTCATTTTGTGTAAGGAAATCAATATTGCATTTCAAAAAAAAAGGAAGAATGGGAGAAAAAAAAAGAAAATATGCAAAGAAAGGTAAATCAGTTTGGAATCTGAGAGCAGGAACTGCTTGAAAACTTGTGGGAATTTCACATGCCAACAAGCTCTGTAACAAGATAGGGTGATGTTTTATTCATCACCTGCTTTATATCAAAGTCCTTTTCTAGGGTTAAGCATATGAACGAACATTTCAAGCAAAGCGTTTCCTTTAGATACAGAAACTTATTTAGAAATAATTCAAACCATTTTGAAACAAATCCCCAAGACAATAGTTGTTGTTTCATAATCGTTTGGGAAAATTAAGCATGATCAAATCCACAGTTCGAAACATGAAATGTTTCATTTCCTTTCTGAAGCTTTGCATTAAATCTTTGTATATTAGCTTCTAATATGAAATGCCTGCTTATAACTTAATGAAACTGCTTTAAAAACCCAGATTGTTATGAGGTTTCAGCTGGGGATTTCCATCGAAGCATGTAGAAGAAGTTATCCAAGGATTTATGAAAGAAACTGCAGATTTAGCGCCATAGCTCCATTGATTCTACTATAGTAGAGCAATAGTTCTACAACTGCGAGGAACATTCTCCAACTGAGGTAATGGTAAGCCAGGATTTATTGAATAAAACCACAATAAATCTTAATGTATTATTTGCAATGGCTAGATTCATACAGTGCATTCAGTCAGCTGTTTTTTTTAAAAAAAGAAAAACTGCTTTCTAGACTCTCCAAGCTATTCCTGTCATCTTACTAGCCAGACTACTCAGACCAGGGTCCCCAACACCCAGGCCATGGACCGGTACCAGTCCCAGGCCTGTTAGGAACCAGGACGTTCAAGTGGCAGGAGAGTGAGTAAAATTTTATCTGTGCATGGGTAGAATCTAAATTGCGCATGAAACCATCCCCCTCCCTAGTCCATGGAAAAATTGTCTTCCACAGAACTGGTCCCTGGTTCCAGAAAGATTTTTAATTAATAACAATTATTTATATATCTTGGACTCAAAATGAAATTTATTATTTCATTCAGATTTTAAACATCTGTCTGCACCTTCACTTGAAAATTTTCTGAGAAAGTATTATATAGTATGGAACAAGGTGTATGTCTGGTTGGAGACTAGAAATAATAGAGGAGAATAAATATGGAAAGGTCAAAAGTGAAAATATGTGTATAATAATGTATAATAATAATAATATAGTAAAATGGCGATCGGCAAATCCCTCGGTGTTTTTTTTTCTGGAAGTTAGAATGCTGACCGGCAGGTTTTTTGGTGTTTCTCTTTCTTTCCTTTCCCTTTCCCTTTTTATTTCCTTATGATTGGAATGGTTGTTTTTGGTATCTCTAAGTATTTTTCTTGGAACGGACTTTTTCTATTTAATTATTTTTTTTTCTTCTCCCTTTTTTTTTTCTTCTCTTTGAACTCTCTTCTTTTTATTGTAATGACCCTTTTTTGAAGGACTTTTTTCTGTTTAATTTTTGTAATTTTTAAGAAGGAGTAAAGCTTTTTTTTAATTCCTTTTCTCTTTTTTTTTTCTTCCCTTTTTTTCTTTTTATTATAACTCTTTGGAGGGAGTTATGATTTTTGAAGGAATTTTTATAATTTTTCAAGAAGGACTAAAGGTTTTTCTTTAAGATGGCTCCAAAGCGTCCAGGGATTTCTACAGCTTCTAAATCAACAGTTTCACCCTCTTCTGGGGGTCAGCTAATAACTATGAAGGATTTGCAAGACATGATGGGAGATGTTATAATTCAAATTAGGGCAGAAATGAAAAAGATTTTAGAGGAAAACAATAAGATCTTGAGACAAGATTTTGTTTTGGCTTTAGAAGGAGTTGCTTCTGTTCTTGAAAAGGTGAACTCCCATGTGGAAGAGGTAGCTGAAAAAGTGGACATAATGGAGGGGAAAATTGAAAGTATGGAAAAAGAAATGGAAAATGAGATTCTTATGCTTCAATATGGACAAATGGAATATGCCTTAAGAATTAGGGGCCTGGGAGAGTCTTTGCAAGGAGATCTGAAGGAGATGGTTGCAAAGGACTTTGCATTGATTTTGAATAAAGAAAAAGAGGGAATACTTAGTGAAATTGAAAAATTATTTAGGGTTAACTCTGTGGTGGCAGCACAGAAGAATCTGCCAAGAGATGTGGTAATTTACTTTGGTAAAAGATCTTTACGCAATGAAATTGTGCAAGCCTATTATAAGAAGAGATTTCAAATTGCTTCACAAGATGTTATAATTTTTAAGGAGATCCCATCTAAAATTTTAAGAAGAAGAAAGGAGTTTGCTTTTCTAGCAAATGAACTTAAAAAGAGAAAAATTTTATTCAGATGGGATGTTCCGACTGGAATGGTGGTGAATTACCTGGGGACATGTTATAGACTTAATACTGTTTCTCAAGCAAAAGACTTTTATACTTCGGTCCTGGGGGTATGTGCATCGCCATCTACTAAGTTTAAAGCTTTGGAAGAAAAGAATGTAGAATCACAGTTTGAAGAGCCTATATTTATGAAAACTGGAGAATCTTTGTGTGAGAGGCCTCAACAAGTCCAGGTTGAGGAGCAGAAGACAACTTGTGCAGTATACAATTCCAAAGAAAAGCAGCAACAGAAGAAGGTTAAGGAAGTTTCATACTCAGTGGTTTCTGAATCTCTGGGAGATGTTAGACCTACAAAGTCTTTGGAGCAATCTTCAAGGGTGGAATTGCTGCCTGAAATGGAAATTGGGAAATCTCAGTTTGAGGGGCATCAACAAGAGAGGAACGGGCAGAGGATAACTTGTACAACTTACAATTGTAAAGACCAACACAAGGAGGAATTCAAGGAACCCTTATTGGCTTCGGAGTCGATGGGAGATTCAGGAATTTTGGAGCAGTCTCCTAAGGCAGAACTTGCAGCATTTCTTACGAGTTTGATACAAGAATGGAGAAGGGAAATGGAAGAATGGAAGAATGGAGAATGGAAAAAACTGGAATGTGAATAATTAATAATACTAATATAATTGAGACTGATAAGGATGCAGTTTCTTACGGATGGAATTTGTTATTGGTGAAGATTGAAATGTTTAATGTGTTTATTAATTTTGTTGTTTTAAGTTTTGAACCTTTAATGATAATATTGTTTAAATTTGTGTTTTGAAGGGATTATAATTTGCTTATTTTAGTGAGGGGATTCTAATGTTTTAAATTTTAAGTAATGTTTAAATTTGTGTTTTGAAGGGAGTATAACTTGTTCAAGTTTTAAGTATGCTTAAATTTGGTTTTTAAATATTATTAATATTTTTAAGAGAAAATAATTTGTTTAATTAAATGTTTAGATTTGTTTAGGAAAGAAAGTAATGTTTAAATTTGTGGTTTTGGAGGGAGTTTATATAGAATGATGATTGTATTTAGATTTGTTTAGGATTTAAAAGTGTTTCTAGTTTTTAAATATTATTATTAATATTTTTAAGAGAAAATAATTTGTTTAATTAAATGTGCTTAGATTTGTTTAGGACTTATAGGTTTTTTAAGTTTTTTTCTTTTTGGATAGGAGAGAAGATTATGAAGATTGAAGGAAATATGTATTTACTTTAAGTTTTTTAAGAGTATTTAGCTTTAATGGTATAACAAAGATTTGTATGTTTATTTTTTCGTTTTAGGATAAAGAAAGAGGGAGAAATTAGATTTTATACTATAGATATAGATATTCAAAGAAAGTAATGTTTAAATTTGTGTTTTTGGAGGGAGTTTATATAGAATGATGATTGTATTTAAATTTGTTTAGGTTTTAAAAGTGTTTTAAGTTTTTTTTTAATTAAGCCTGTACTCAGCTCTGGGAAGTCCAGGGGAGGGTTTGGGAGGTTGGGAAGGGGGGGGGTGAGGTAGGGGGGGGTATGGGAAGGGGATTTGTTTTTGTAAAATGTAAAAATTTTCAATAAAAATAAATAAATAAAAAAAAACAATAATAATAATATGAATTATTCTTAGTAAGAAGTAGAACATGAAGGAAGAAAAATGTAAGAAATAATGGGGCTATAAGGACAAATATTCTAAAGAAGAATAAGGGGGAAATGTAAATATTAGATTACCGTTACGTAATTGCTGTAAAAAAAAGGAGGAGTATATATTGTGTGTATATGTGTGTTATGTTTTGCTTTCTTCTGTTTTGTCTTGTTGGTTAAAAAAAAAGAAAAGAAAATTTTCTGAGAAAAATCTGTTTATTTACTCCTTAGTATCTACATTTAAAATATAATTTTTATTGCATTTTATTTTTTCCAGAACAAGGATTCTAGTGGTTTTTCACCAACAGGCAGGTGGCTATACTTTAGAAGTGGAAGGGAGTAAGGGCAAAAATAATTTTAATTACTTTACATTCAAGATCCAGTTTGGTGCAGATGAAAAACTGGGAAAGTGTGAGAAAGCAATGATAAACCACTTTCAAAAATATTGCCAAGAAAACTACAGGGACTTATCCAGGCAGTTGCCAGGAGTCAATGCTAACTTGAAAGCATGGCATATATACTCTCTCACACATAAAACTAAATTCAATTAAAATAACTTTATGCAGATAATATATTACACTTCTATACTGAATCATTTCTCCTTCTCATCCAATTTAATGATTTGATCCTTTGAAATAAAGAGAAATAAATACATATTTTCCATCTATTTCAAGAATAATTCCAAACCCAATACTAGGTGCATATATCAGAACAGTGGTATAAAAGTCTTATAAAGGTCTGATTGGAGATTGAAATAAGATTGAGGAGCAAGCAAAATAATAAAATCTCTGTCCATATTTCTTCCACAACACTACCATGATCTAGGGATTAGTGTGAGTTAAACATCGAAGAAGGCTCTAATATTAGAAATTAAACTCCTGGAAGTCTTTTGAATGCTGTCTTAACTTATTTTCAATATAGAATTTCTTGAAACATGCTTTATTTTGATCTGCCAAGCCTTTCATGAGCATGTTTACCATGGATATTCCTCTGAAATGTATATTTACTGTAGCAGTTCACAACAATTTATTACCAAGTTGCATTTCACAGCATTTAGGTTAATACAAATCTACTCTAGGAAATCAATTAATTTAGAATATGGATGTAAAGTAGGAATAACCTTGAGGAGGATGAACTACAGTTAATGGTCAGACAAAAGAAATTTGAATCTAAGGCAGAAAGGCAATTTGAGAAAGCAGCTGAAAAAAATATTCTTCGCAGTTCTCAAGAAGATAAAGTGAAAGAGAGGGAAACATACTCAGACTGGCAAGATTTGATTACTGTAATCTTGTAATAAAAGGAATATTAATATTGATAACTTTGGTTGGCTGGTGTGGTCTACCTTGACTGACAAGAGATAAAAATTATCCTAGGATATCCTTCAAAAATAAAGTTCATCATTAAAATCATTTACAGCATGTGCACACACATACATATGATACAAAATATCTAGATTGATAATTATTTCCCTTTATTTATTTATATTGAATTTATAGCCCATCACAATCCATTAGACTGAAACTATCTTGAGAATACACTCTCTAAAGTTGGAAACTGCTTTGGATATATGCTATGGAGCAAGAAAGGATATGCATATAGTGTCTTCCTTAAAACCAGGTGTATCTTTATCCAGGATCAGGCAATAACTGTAAAAGACAGTTCTTGGGAAAAAAATGTAGTTCCTTATGGGGTTGTAGACAAGCTCATTTTGCCTTCATACCTGAAGCACTAAGCCTAACCCTTATATTGACTATCTCAAGACACTCTAATAAAGGCCAATACAGTAATGCAATTTTTAATGAACACACCTGCTTTAAATATATACAGTTCAAAAACAAGTATCTAAAAAAAAAGATATAAAAACTTACTATAACTTTTTCTTTGTGAGTTCTGATTGTTGCTCCAAACCACTGATTTGATTTAAATTCAAGAGGTTCTCTTGTACCATTGACTTTGATTTTCCTATTATCTGTAAAAGAAAGAAAAACATGTTTACATTTATTCTTATTGTTTTGGAAGGGGAGGAAAAGAGAGGAATGGGAAGGGAAGCGGTATAGTCAAGGTTACCTTATTTAAGTTGCTATTTATAATGGACTGGATCTGAACTAGGTAAATTTTTTTTTTTTTTTTTGCATTGAAAACAATATAACTTCATACTTCATCTTTATTAATTCATTTCTTTTATTTCAAAAGAATGTTTTCTGCCTTTTGAGGTGGACTGTGTTAGATAACTGACCCCACAAGAACTACTGTAACTCTATTGTTATAAATGATAAAACTTGAAAGCCTATCAGACATTCTAACTCTCATACAAGAGAAAAATAAAGTGGGGCACTCCTGAGTTTCTTCCTTACTGCTTCCTTACTGCTTATCAACTGTAAGCTCTTGTTTATATAATTGTAATTGTTGAATTCTTTCTTCAAGTTCATCTCTGATCTCCTTTATACGACCAAAACCCATATGCAGTCAATCCATTCACTGTATTCACTCAACATGCTTACCCAGAATTCATTTAATCACAGCTTACTCAATTAAACCCTTCTGAGGTTTGCAGGAAACATTGACTCACAACCTAACACTTGGACTGGATTTTCACAACAAACTAGTCAAAAAAGTGGTTCTGTAGATTGAACAAACATAAATAATACTGATAAATATATATTGCTGAAAACACTAATATTTTCTTTCAAAACTGATTAAAATTCTAAATTTTTTTTCTCCAAATCAGGCTTTTGATTTCAATCATATGTCCATGTCATTTTCTTTTTCTTCAGACTGAAATAATTTTGTCTCAGCTTCCTTCAGAGGAAGTTTTTCAACTAGTCTATGGCCCTGCTATTCCTTGGAGGATCTTCATTAAATTTCTATTTTGCTTAGTATCTCAACTCAAATAAGACTAGCCAAGTTCTGCCATCTGTTGAGACCACAAGGAACTACATTTTTATCATTTATCCTTATTCTCTAAGCTTTAAGCTCAGCCAAGATATTTGGAGATACATAGAGAAGCAACAACTGAACAACAATTCAAATTTAAGTCTTTCAAATTTAAGAAAAGTTTCATCTGAACAAAGGAACTTTGATATACCCAAAAAGATTCTATAAATTCATTTTTTCTTGGTGAAAGAGTGATACACAGCAGACTAATCCCCCCCCAAAAAGAGAATGAAGCTCAATTTACATTTTGTGGCACATACCAAGTTCTACATTATGGCACAGAAATACAACTATATACTTCAATTCCCAAAGTGCACACATAATCAAAACAACAATCAATTGCTACAGTCAAAATATGTGAATATTCTGCCATCATGAATTGATATCTCTAACCAATAAGATGTGTACTTTTAGTTTAGGTACGCTAAAAATAATTGGGAAATTGATGTAAAAATAGAAGATTCAAGATGCTACTCAATTATTATTATAAATACATAAATACATTTCTAAAAGGATACTTTAATATTTTCCCCTCTTTGTTATGAAGTGAGATTATACATTTTTATTTGATCAGCAGTAACTTCTCAAATGCTGTTGTCCCATTCTGGCTACTAGATATCTTCATTTGGACTGGTACTACATGTGTACCATACTAGCACAAGAAACAGGTCTGCAACATGCTTTATATACACGCCATATCTGTCATCATAAGAAAAACCATCTGTGTAAAACTCAGCCCAATTATAGTGTATTTCAGGTTGTAATAAAAAGCAGTCCTCTCTTCCTTTCACCCTCAGTCCTCTGAAGTAAATTGATTTCCCACATGTTCCTAAGCTGTGTTCCTTCTTTACTAGTCATCCTTAATGAACTTTTCTATTTATTCCCCCAAACAAAGACATACTCCTGGCCTTTCTTATCTGGGTAGCTCTGCCTGGTTTCTGCTTCCTATCAAGGAGTTCTCCAGATCTACTTGTTATTTCAGTTAAATAAAAATAATAATAAAAAACATACACACTGTGAAAGCTGGAATTTTAATTTTTTTCTCCAGGGTCAAAGTATATTATCACCACTGCAGAGAATTTGGTTTGTTTAATACATAGGCATTAAATACACAGTATATTTTAAGTAGAAAGTTTAAAAAAGCTAACAACTTGCCGCCCACATCTGTCTCTCCCATGTCTCATGTTTACCGTAATAACATTCAGCATGACATGAGTGTATCCTTAAAACAAAGAAAGTGTGCAGAAAACAAAATTGATTGGAACTGGTTTAAAACAAGTCCCAAAATGAAGCTTCTATGAAGTTGTTACTGAAGGGAAATTTCAATTTTGCTCATAATCCAGAAGCACGGAGGGAGAGAGGGAGGAAGGGAGACTGAGAAAGAAGGGGGGGCAGAGAGAGAGAGAGAAGAGCGTCTCATTAAGAAGACATAGAAATGGAGCAAATGTTAATTATTTAATTTGCATTTATTGTCAGTGCTTTGTCAACTTTTGAGAACTGAATTAGGTGTCAGTTGTCCAGTCAACATTGTTGCCCACTATCAAAAGACACCATCAATGCTCTATTAAATGCTGATGAATCAGGAAAATATTATTGGTAAAATCAGGTCCCTGCCATATCTTACTATCAGAAGGCTCCAAGATGGATGCCTCTTTGATAACAGTCCTTTAGAAAGACACCAGCATAAACCTGCAATTCCCTTTATGATATCCTTTCCTTACTTTTTCTCCTTTGCCTTCTTAGATCTCTCTAAGGCAGTGTTTCTTAATATTTTCCTGTCAGGATCCTTTCCACTGTTAAAAATTATAGAAATTTTGTTGGTATCGATTACAGTCATCAATATTTATTTTATTAAAAATTAAAAATGATACTGAGTATTTATTGAATCTGCTAAATTAATATTAAACATGTTAGATATTAACATAAAGACAATATTTTTCATGAAAAAACTATATTTTAACCCATAAAAAATAATGAGAAAAATGACATTGTTTTAAATTTTTGCAAGTACAGGTAGTCCTCGACTTATGATCATAATTGAGCCCAAAATTTTTGTTGGGCTCAAGACAGTTGTTAAGTGAGCTTTGCCCCATTTTATGACTTTTCTTACCACAGTTAAGTGAATCACTGCAGTTGTTAAATTAGTAACATGGTTGTTAAATAAATCTGGATTCCCCATTGACTTTGCTTGTCAGAAAGTCGCAAAAAGGGATCACATGACTCTGGGACACTACAACCATCATAAATAAAAATCAATTGCCAACTGTTTGAATTTTGATCACATGTCCATGCAATGGTTGTAATTCTGAAAGGTTACTTTTTTCAGTGCTGTTGTAAACTTTGAATGGTCACTAAGCGAACTGTTGTAAGTCAAGGACCATCTATATCTATAACAATTTTGATTTTGCAGACTGCTGAGATGATCTTGGGGTTCCTTGGAATAAGAAACACTGCTATAAAGGATCGGCAGGAATCAGTAGGAAAGGGGCGTTGTCTTACCTGAACGCCTTTTCTCAGCATCACGATGGAGAATCCACTTATGGGTTTACTTTATCTTGCTGCCCAACAGACTAAGTCTGACAAGTTGCCATGCCTTCTGCTGGAGTATTATTCCCCAGTTACAACGAAGGCGAAGAGCAAACTGTAGTCCGACACATTGGTTCCTGATACCCCGAACACAGGTCCTGATAGACACTAAGGGGGTAGGTGTGGATTCTCCATTGTCATGCTGAGAAAAGGCGTTCAGGTAAGACAATGCCCCTTCTCCAGCATGAGGATGGAGAATCCACTGATGGGACATACCAAAGCCACCCTGTCCCTATGGATGACACTACTTGCTGCAACACCCTCCAACCAAATGAGGCATCTCGGAGGCAAATTTGTCTATTTTGTAGTGCCTTATAAATGGGGAAGGCAAAGCCCAAGTCACCGCCCTACAGATCTCGACAATGGATGCTTGTGTTGCCCAAGCCGCTGATGTTGCAGCACTGCAGGTGGAATGAGCAATGATGCGGCTAGGAACTGACAAAGAGTGGGATTGGTATGCCCTTGCAATGCAAGCCTTGATCCACCTGCCTATGGTTGATGCCAAAACCTTCTGTCCCATGGAAGAGGGTTGAAAGGAGACAAACAGTGCCTCTGACTTGCAAAAGACAGAAGTCCTCTTGATGTACTGTCATAGAGTCCCGTGCACGTCTAGAGTGTGCCATTGACATTCAGAGTTGTGACACGGATGAAGGCAAAAGTCCAGTAGTATTACTTCTTGCGACCTGTGGAACAAGGTGTTCACTTTGGGAACAAATGATGGATCTAACCGGACCACCCTGTCACTGTGAAAAACGCATAGATCCTCTCTAACAGACAGCGCTGCCAGTTCCGATATGCTCCTGGCTGATGTGATGGCTACTAGAAAGGCTACCTTCATGGACAAGACCCGCAAATCACAGGTCTTAATGGGCTCGAACGGTGATGTGGTAAGAGCCTGTAAGACCCGTGGCAGGTCCCAAGAGGATCTAAGGATTGCAGGTAGTTTGGTGTTGGTCGCTCCCTTGATGAAGGAGCGCACCATTGGGTGATGGACTAAAGAGGAGGAATCGTCGCATGATAGCACTGTTGATAGAGCCTTTTGATGGTATTTGGAGATAAGCCTTTGTCGAGCCTCTCCAGCAAATACTTCAGGATTCTAGGGATAGTGATGGATGAAAGATCAAATTGATTCCTGGTACATCAGAGACAAAAGTTCTTCCAAGTGGAGTCATGTATTCTGTTTGTAAAAGGACGTCTGGATGCCTGAATCATGTTGACTACTCTCGTTGAACAGGATTCCTGGGTCAGAAGTCACTGCTCAAGTGCCAGGCAGTTAACTGGAGCCACTGGGGATCTGGATGTTGAAGGGCTCCCTGGCTGAGGGCAATGTGATCTGGAGGGATTTTCCACAGGGGAGAGATTGAAAGGCTCACGAAGTCGGCAAACCACGGTCGTCTCGGCCAGTGTAGAGCAACCAGTATGACCTCTGCCCTTTCCTGCAGTAGTTTG